ATAATAGCTCGCATGATAGTAACTGATGTTTAATTTCGCAACTTTTCCCTAATTTGAGCGTCGTCGTATCTTCTATTGCTTCGGAGATCCCCATGATCGACACCCTTATCTTGGACACAGTGCATAGTGGAAGTGGAGAAACGTTTTGTAGAAAGTGAAGACAATTATTTTAAGATCCGATGTGTGAAAGCAACAACCAAAGATAGCAAGCCATTTTTTCGTTAGCTGAAGATGACGGCACACAGCCAAAACCACATTATGAAATAAGACAAGTTACGGTTTAACTGCCTGCTTATGCAGTGGCGTAGCATATCATTGACCAACTACCACATACAGTCTTCTAAGAATAGGTAACAAAGAGTTGCTAGGGATTAGAAATTAGAGACTAGAAATAAATGAGAATTGCATCTCTTGCAAATGATAAGCGAAGTTCAGGCGGCGTACCAAGGGACAAATAATTACTTCGAATAAATAAAATTAAAAAACAGAATGCTAGCACCCAACTTCAGTCCTGAGAAAAGTGTTTGCAAACTTGTACAATGACGGTTAGAGGATTTAATAGACTATCTTTTTAGATTAAAAATACAGAGGGTTCTATTTAACAAATGAGGTTTTGTCAAAAATAATCATTTTTCTGTATCGATTTTAACACAGAAAATGTGGGTTCATTCTAAAATTGACATTGTTTTGATTTTCTCTCGTAACTCTCAAGCATTCTGATTTTACCATTCTCGGTTTGACTCAAAAGAAACACCATGACGCCTATATGACTTTCTTGACACCACTCACGATCGTTCATTGGTATTTGGTATTGGGGAATCAAGAAATTACAAACAATATTTAAATTGGAGAAGAAAGTTGACTAATGAAAACCTTCCAAACATTATTTACTTACACGCAGGCGATCATTTTTTTTAATTGTTTGATAGGTCAATGGAACTGTACGTCATTAGGACTGCAAAATAATCTACGTCTAAAGACGTCACGCACGATTAAGTAAATATTGCATGCTATCAGAAAATTGATGTCACAGTCTATCGATCTATCAGCATCTTATCTAAATTTTGCAATGTTTGTTGGTTTTATGTCCTAATTAAAAAATTACTATTTACAGGGCGACATGAAAAAAATTCACAATTATTGTCACAGTACTTGATAATCATGGTTGAGTTGACGTTGTCTACACACTTCACAAAAGTCTTGAGCCGTATTTCTCGCGCCGTGATATTAGTAAAAACTAAATGGGTTAGGTTTGGGTAGTAATTCACTAAAGCTTTTATTTGCCTCCTAAGGCTCCTACTTGTCTCAGCGATTGCGACAAGTTACTTATATGTAATAATTATGTTTCTCCTCCAACCTATGGAGTAGCACAAGGATCTAACTTCGGCCTCTGTTATTTTTCTTAAATTCTAAACTGATTTTCGAGAGCGATCACGTAAAATCACCGGTGTGTAATAGTTATTTATGTATCAAGGGCATTAAGGCGATGTTTATGCCGAGGGCGACAGAGCCCGAGGGCCTCTGGCCCGAGAGATTGTAAGTCGCCCGAGGGTTAAATATCGAGTAATGCCTGAGGTGCATACAAAATTTCATTTTTCAACGTTCCAAATAATGCAATTTCCAATATACAAATGTAGGTAATGATTATTGTTTGCCAACATTAAAGTGCTTCATACGAATCAAGTAGCATCTTTTTTTATTACATAATATGACTCCGTCAATATATATAGATTATTGTAAAAATTCTGCATTGTTTGCAGCATTACATCGTTATAATAGTGTGCATACGAATCAAGTAGCATCTTTTTTTATTACATAATATGACTCCGTCAATATATATAGATTATTGTAAAAATTCTGCATTGTTTGCAGCATTACATCGTTATAATAGTGTGCGTTTATGGAATAACAGCGTAGATATCCCTTGTTTTTATTTTATTTTAACACAACATATATTTTTTTTATATTCTTTATCTACATGAACATTGTTATTGGGGTAACCTGTTATGTTCATAAATAAATAAATAAATTAATTAATAGTGAAGTTCGAGGCGAAGTTACTGTATGTTTTGAAGTTTGAAAAGACACGCGTGTCTACGCTCAATTGCTGCCAAAATTAGTTGCCTTCTTTTGATGTTAAACAAGGTCAAAGAGAAGCCAGTACGTGCTGGGAACAGTAGTTTCATTGAAGGTATTGTCCCCGTTAAACGACAGCCGTTCAAGTCGTTGGTGGCGTCTTTTTGCGTTCAGCCAGATATCACAATAAACGCCCCTGCAACCTGTTTCGAAAATAGAATTAAGAAGACCAAGTTTTTGAGTCACGTGTCGTTTAAGTGCCGCGTTTCCTTTAGTCTTGTTGTGTGTCTGGTTTTATTGGGATTAATCACGTCTTGAAAACTGTAACATTTCTTGATGTTAAGAGTTCTTGATGTGATGACGTGGAATAAATTTTGTTTATGTTTATTCGATCTCTTTACCGATTCAGAGATAAGTATCATGCTCAATTACGATTCATTTTGTTGATCCGCGCCCAAAGTTCATTTCATATGCTTTCAAAATTTGGTAGATGGCCTTTGTCAAGTTTAAGGAGTTTGATTTTGACCGTTGCTTGCTTTGAATCAGGAATTTAAAGTCAGAATTGATTTTGTTTGTTGGGCCGGGGTGCGGATGTGTACTACCAGAAATTTCATTATAGAACTAGTTCGATTTGAGGTGTTTGGTATGTGGCCCGAAATTAAAGGGTCACAGCAATATAGATCTGGGAATTTAAATTTAAATTAATTCCGCAGCAAACAACGGAGGTAGGTATAATCGTTAAATGAATATCAAACAAATGTAATAATTACAATTCGATTGTATCGAAAATCGGTATGTAATCAAACGTTAATCATGAACTTGGGTCCGTCACCTTGTGAGCTCAATAGGACGCGTTTAGCCTAATCTGTAACAGACAATAACACAACAAATAGTGAATTGCGCGGCATAAAGTATTGCGAAATAGAAATTCTAACGTCTGACAGTAACACAATCCGAATTCAAGTCCAAGCCTCCTTTTTGTAACTCAAAATCGTTTGTTAAATTTTTGAAAAATATTTGAAAATAACACATATCACCGAAGCACTGAAAATGGCAAATTTGGTTTTCATTTTCCCTAGCTTAAACAGTCAGAAATGGACGGTTCCCGTTAGCACCTTCTATCGGCATTTTTTTCGTAGAACCTGAATCTGTTATCAGAATTTCCATAACACGCTAGATGTAAAAGCTACGGAGTACTACTTTCATATTTCTTATAGGCGCCATATTGGATTTTTACGGAATGAATTTCTTTTTGTCCTCTATCTCATTCCGTAGAAATCCATGTGGCGACCCCTAGGAACTAAGCGTGTTATGGAAATTCTGATACCAGAATCAGATTCTCGGGAAAAAAAATGCCCGTAGAAGGTGATAACGGAAACCGTCCATTTCCGACCGTTTAAGTTTAGGAAAAATTGAAACAAAATTTACCATTTTCAATCTTCCGGTGATATCTCAGATATTTTCAAAAATTTTTCATACATTTCAAAACCGTTTTTTAGTCACAAAAAGGGGCCCCATTTAACCTACACTGTACCTATCTTTCACCGTTACGGAGATCCCAATGGTGAGCCACGAATTAGAACTATCCTGTACGTACCCTTCCAGCCAAACAGCACTTTATGACGGTACTACAACAAAAGCAGGAAAACGGTGTGGTAGAAGAAGAGCAAGGTGGAAGGAGGCGAGATATCAAGAGATCTAGCAGTAACTAAAGAGACTGGAGAAAAGGAAGAACGGTAAGAAGGGGTAATAATGCCCGTATGTCACGAACTGAACGACTGTCGACAGAATATTTGTGATGGTATTGAATGAACAAGAGTAATTGCAATTTATCACATCACAAGAACGCATAGATGTACGAACTGAACTCAAAACACAATTCCATTTGCTTATATAACAAAACCACATTCTTTCTAAAATATTCTTAGAATGTTCTCGAGTGCTCAGGGGCGCATGAGAATATTCTCGAACAAATACGTCATATTTCTCGGAAAGATTACGTCACATCCACCTTCGTTCTTTATCGCCGACGACTAATCTGCAAAGGCGCCTCGATGTCTATCGAGATTTCTGGAATGTTACATTATTATTCTGTTTTTCTACTTATTATTGTACCTTTTTCTATTACTTTATCGCCTTTTTCTTAACAAGCTATTCTTCCTTTCCAGTAAGCATTAATGTCTGCTGCTAGGCTTCCTCCATTGGTTCTGCGAAACTTATTTTTTGAATTAAAAGCACAATCGGTGGTTCGTTTTGAAATGAAAGCCCTATGTGTGGGGGCTTATATTAGAAACTGTCGTGTATGGGTCAAGTTCAGGGGCGCGGGCACCAATTAACCTAATCTCTATATTTCATAATAACAAAGTTACATATTTGAATATAAAATTTATATTCAACCCCTGCACGTAGGGACGCCCAGGACCTACAAATCGCATGTGCCTTTGTCTGATATATTTTTACATGATCGTGTTTACCTCCACACGCCCTAAATATTTACCATTTCTGTCTTGATTACTCGCAAAAAGTAAGGAACTGGTACGTATTTCTTTATAATTACAGGAGTAACCTTTGGCATAAATTATACTCGTGTAGGCCACCGAGAGATAGGTGCTACATAAAAAGATATAAATTAATCCTTGGTAAAAACATTTTAATTGTTAATGACGAAAAATCCAGTTTTCGGTGAGTGAGTTGCACTTGACACATTGCCCAATTACACCCAGAATCCTGAAATAGAGGCATGCAAATGAATCTATTTGTGTATAAAACTATGTTTGTGTATCTACAAATTATACACGATTGTTATTAGTGTATGTTTATGTAGAATTAATGATAGTTAATTGTGCATGCAATTACGTAGCAATCGTGCTCTTGCAGTCTTTGATACAGTATAATCCATAGTGTTGCAAAACGCTATTATTAGTATGTGTAAGCGTATATGTAAAAAAAAATATTAACTGAATTTTATTTGCGGGGAGTTAATAAATCTAATACTCGAGTACTTCTGAAATAAAACTTTTTTACTCCTCTTGGGAAAATAATTATAATTTTGATGATCTGATTTTTAGTTACTCCACATAGACAAAAACCGAATCCCTAACTGAACTCAAAACGATATCCTTACTGGCCAGATGACTTCTTAATTTTAGCAAACAACAAATGATTCTAAATAAGCCAATCTACATAGATCATTATATCACGTTAATGAAGAGGCACGGAAATATACGCAATTCAGCTTCTTCTACTGATAGGTAAGTCGCATAAAACGCAAATAATAAAGATAGCATTTGGTATGTTATCATCTCAGAACGTTTCGCGGCGTCGTACCGGGTGTCAGTTAACGACGCGACGCCGACGCCTGCGGATTTGGTTCGTGATTCGATGTCCCGCACTGTTTACCTCTATTAAATTTTTTTTTTGTCAAACAATATTAGATATATTAATTTGAAAAATGACAGCCATAAATGGGACAATATAAAAATAACTTAAAAAAATAAATGTAAATATAAATGTGGATTATTATAATAATGATTAATAGATTTGATTTGGCGAATATGACTGAAGAGCCCACCAAAACAGTCCCATTTTCGGTCAAAGAATCCAAGGCCTCATTCCTAAACAAACAGGAGCATTTGAAACAAACCTCAAGCAAAAGAGAACAATGTCCTGCAATTTTAAAACAATACGCTGGGCAACCATTAAAAAATGGAAATTGTCCGGTTTATGGTGAAATTTAGTTCTTAATATTACTGCACTTACTTTAGCGCTCCGTGTAAATGATTTATTTGCGATTCACTGATTTGTTAAATTCCTACGAGCGAAGTGGAATGAGGACACTACGCTAGCAGGTCCAACTGAAACCATTGTCATGGCACGATTGGATGGCAAATCCAATGGAAGCAGTATTTCGTTTTGGGATTGCAGTAGTGATGATTTAAAATTGGGTGTGCAAAGAATTGATAGACCAAGTTGCAAAACACTCTGCCTTACTCAAAAAACAACAAAAGATTAAACTTTATAGTTTCATCAAAGACTATAAAGATGTATTTGAGACCACGGAGAAGAGATCGAATGGAAGAACTAACCTGGAGCAACAGAAGACAAACGCCGAGAATTCACAACCCATTCGACCATCACATAAACGTCTTCCGCTAGCAAAACGGGAGGAAGCGGAAAATATTGTAAGATGCCTATCCACTTCCACTAATTGACGACAGGATTGACGCGCTATCCGGCTTTTCTCGAATTTGGATTTCAAAAGTGGTTATTGGCAAGTGGAAGAAAAGACGGCATTTACGATCGGATCGGGATTACGGCATTTTTCAGTCATGCCGTTGGATTCTGTAACGCACCAGCGACGTTTGAATGTCTCATGGAAAATGTGCTAAAAGGGTTATGGTGGACCACTTGTTTGGCGTAGTTTTATGGGGAAGGTTTTAAGGTCTTAAACGTGGATTGTTTAGCGTACCTGGACGACATCTTTCTGGTGGGAAATGGCGCGAGAGGTTTTACAAAGGCTTCGGTCGGGTTTCCCTGAAGGGGAAGAAGTGACATCTTTTCCAGAGTAAGGTTCATTATTTAGGACATGTTGTGCCGAACCGTGGTGTTGCTGTTGATCCTGAGAAGGTCAGCCCGCTAGAGAATGGCCAATTCCAATTGATAAATCTCGGGCAAGAAGTTTTCTCGGCCTGTGCATCAATTACCGACGATTTATCGCGGGTTTTTCCACCAGTTGCTAAACCTCTAATTGACCCGGGTTTGAAACCGATTATTGAATGGAAGAGGGATTGGCAAGTGGTAGCACCTTCTACTCCCAATGTGAAGGCGTACTAGGCGCAATGGGATTGGTTGGTGATAGAGAACAACCCTCTAGAGTCTAGAGCGTATCCTGGAAAGTAACGATGGACAACAACAGAGGTCACAACCAGAGACTTGCTATAGTCACAACGCACATACTGAGTAAATAAAAACCAGATATAACATTTGAGGAGCTTCCGTATTTTTCGATCAAGTGAAAGAACTAAAGAGAAACACTTACGTGTGAGAAAAGCATTAGAACTTCAGGATAACAGACGTGCCGTTTATTACCTAGTGACGAAAGTACCATCTGTTGACAAACCGGATTATTAAGTGATGGATTGGAGCGTTGAGTAAAAAGTAATTGGAGGAAGAAGAAAATTGGTTTGCGGATTTGATGGTCTTGATTGGCGGAAAGTCCTTAATATGCTGGAGGTAATCTTATGCGGGGCCGGTGTAGAAATCCTGGTTTGCAACTATAATCCAAGAGACCAAGACTGGATGTTGCTGTAAAGCTGTAACGTATCAGTTACTTCATGATCGTTTGTGTTTCGGGGAGGAGGGGGCAATTGACACTGTGGACAAGCCGTGACGGGAGAATTTTTTATCCATTCGTTTTCTAATACAGTCCTGTTTTATAACGATTCGAATGTTTACAGAACCATTACAGTACTTCTCTAGTGTATTTTCTTATTGTGTTTTCTTACCGAAGTCACGATAGCGCGCACTTGATTAAAAACGTGAAATAGTCCCCTACATTCTATGCCTACAACGAATAATATGCATTGGAACATGTGTATATATTCCGCAATACCTTTGGATGGTTATTCTACGTAAATGACTGCTTTAATTTATGTAATTAGATCTTGTTGCAATCGGAGAAGGCCAACTGAGATGCTTCCGACATGAAACAATAAATAATTGTACCTATTCCCGCTGACAATACTTACCTCTGATTTCAAAGAATAATAATAGGTATGAGAAAGCTTAACCAAACTACACGACTCATTGTATAAAAGTATAATGTACCTACCTACGAACTATTATGTTAAAAATTATGAAAGTTCACGGTACTAAGCATTGAACACCAAGTTATGTCATATGTCTGTACCTACTTATTATAATATAACTTCCTATTTGCACAATTACTCGAAAGTTCTGCACCAATAAACATGTGTAAATCGCAAAGGTGTTATTATTGTCCCACGCGGAAGCATAAGTCTCTAAGGTGTCTAAGCAGGGCCGGACTGGACAGGAGGGATACCGGGAGATTTAAAGCATTCCTCTCCTTTTCCAAACAAGAATTTATCAATGTTTCTTTTGTGTTAAACGTAAACTTCCGACTAATTTTATGGCACGATCAAATATTGTTAGGTAGGACCCAGGGTAGGACCTTTGCCTATAAATAATCCTTGCAGGATAATACTCCTAATTAAACTCCTTCACAATGGAACGACGGCACTGCATAGTAGGCAGTAGGCTCTTCTATTGTGCTTCCACTCTCACAATCTCTGCCCCTCTGTTTCGGAGATATTTAGAAAAATTAAATGGCGGCTAAGTGAACGCTTAGCACCCCTGTGTACACTCAAAACTTATAGAATTTTGTGTACAAATTGGGGAAGGCGCTATTATGGCCACTTTATCCGTTCGTCCGTCCGCCGGCCTTAAAACTCTTCCAGATTTCAAAATATTTGGTTCGTTATTTTGCGTTCGGTATCTTATACCCCTGGTACCTCAACCAAGAAAAATCTTGACGAATAATATGCGCTCCGCAATGCCATATTTTTTATGTGTATGTAGATATTTTTGTGAAATTTTAAACAAAGATTCTTGTAGTAAAGACAAGCATATCGCATATTGTAAAAATCAGATGTGCGCATGCGCAAACATACACACTTTTATTCTCTTCGCTAGTATCGACGCTCTTATCCCTGCTCTTATCACTTATCGCGGCTCCAACATAAACGCACCCTAATTTATGACACGGCAGCCTATGATATCAGTCAACTGACATGCTTTAACTGCTGAACACACTGAACTTTATTGGCGTTTTGTTTCACTTTGGCGTTTGGAAATCGGCAGATTGTATTACCTCTGTTATTCTTGAATAATTTCCTTCGAAACAAAAAAAATTCCAACGCACTCGAGGACGTAGAGGTAACGTTTTTTTTTGTTTGTGACCTTCACACTCCCCCACGTCACGCTTAAATGGTCAGATTATTAAAATGTACGCTTTTCAACACGTAGTCAACCCACTTTACTTTAATTTGACGGGCTCCAATAAATTCCAAAATAGCCTATTGGGCTCCTCTACTATTGGTTAAGCGTTTACTGAGCCCCAACAAGTATCTCTCAAACCAAAAAGACACAAAAGTGCAATTAAACACAATCTAATCGCGCATTACCGTCGTCTCAACATACAAAAGTTCAATTCTTGAAGGACTGGAGGTTCACTGAGCCCCCATTTGATTTTTCTAAATAATTTTGAAATCAGAAAGGTACCAACCGTAGAATCAGTTTTAATAGAAACTTGTGTAATAAATCATGTGCATGTTTAAAAGTATTTCCCGGTAGGAATTTACAAACCAGTCCGACCCTGTGTCTAAGTGACGTAAAAGTGACTCAATTACGAATTCAGAGTCCTTCCTAATTTCAAACTCACACTCAACTAGTTAGTCACTCATTTCTAACTCAAGTTAGTGCGAATCCTGCTCATTCTCACTTTTGGTATTCAGAGAACATCTGTAATGAGTGATTAATTTGAGTGGGGTTTTAGTATGGAATCTGTCAAAAATATTGTTAGGGGAACGATTGGTAGTGGAAATTTTACCAAGTAACTAACAAACCGCTCTGGAAACGCTAACTTCAGCATAAACGGATATTTAATTTGAACTTATTTCTGCCGTTTTCTTATCGTCATAACTATGAACGCCAATAAAAAACCATTTATGACCGGAGATGAGAAGATTTTTAGCATTGGAAATGCTTATGTTTTGTATGGGTTTGAAGTTACTGGTTAGTCGAGCAGAAAAGAAGACAATTGGTGTCGCATCAAGTGATGATTGTCCCGTACTTGACTGCAATCGGTAGATTCAGGAAAAGTCGCGGATACTGTCGATACGGTAGGTACTTACTTAACAGTGCGCAAGGGTTTTGTTAATTCGAATCTAAATTTATCGCACATCGCCCGTGATGGTATTACACGCATGTTACGACACGAGCAAGCTTGCGAGCGAGTGGAGCAAGTGATACTTGTACGGTTATTATTTCCAATGCCTCCGATGGTTGCAAGGATTGCGAAATTTGTGAATTTTTTTTAAGAAATTGTGACCCGGTATATTAACATCGTCGAATGTAAGAAGACCGATGCTGTGTACGTGTCACAGCGAAAAAAGGTCTGGCAGATAATCATGTCCTTACTTACTAAGATAAAATGGGCCGTATGAATAAAAGTAAGCAAATGCTTATACTTGCAAAATTCAAAGTAAATACTCGTAAGTGCTCCTTCGCAGTGGGCGACTTAGCAGCGCTTCTAAGCAGAAGGATGTCAACTATTGTACACTTTGGCTTAGGTACTTCACGAGTTCTTAACTCAAAGTCATTGAACTCTAATTTAAAAAAAAGAGTGTAATTCGTTTTTAGCGAATTTCAATAAAGTGGGGAGCGCTTTTGTCTACGATTTTCGTCCATCTGTCTATCTGTTTGCCTGTGCTGGGTAAAACTGCTTCCGGGCCATAAATCCACTTTGGTTTTACCGCCAGTTCGAGTTGTACCTACATTGTACAATAAATAGCGGTGTGCTATCAACAGGACCGGATTTACTATGTGGCCATGTGGGCCCGGGTCCATAGCGGCAAATTTTTAGGGGCGCCAAAAAACCAAACAATTCTACAATACTACTATCGTGGAAAAATAGCATAACCTGTTAAGAAATCGAAGTTGGAATGTTACGCACACTCTTACCAACTTAAAAGCAATCACATTTCGACGAAATTATGTCAACTTTGTATTAAGATTGTTGAAAATTTGGGGATTCTCCCGCAATTTTTTTTGTTGGAAACGCTTAATTAAGGTGCCCTCTAGCTCATTTTTATCAATTTCATGGTCGTACCTGGGAGGTAAAATAAACGTTATTTGAAATTAAAGGCTTTTATTATTTTGGAAAACCACTTCTGAATTGCACATTATAAATATTAGTATATAATAACAGTTATTTGTTTGTAGTTCAAACAACAGATATGATATTACCTATACTTTGTTTCAATAACACTTTATAAATCTCATAATTAATATTTTTACTATTAATTAAATCAATCTGAGTAAATGAGGAGAAAGAAATTAACACTTTTCTGTAAAATATAATTTTGGTTGTGGTATCAAATGATTTTAATTGGTTGGGGGCGGAGGGGGGGGCGATTTCGAGCGGCCCACAGGCGCAAAATATGTAAATTCGACCAACTGTGTGAGGTTTGATACATTTTTTTTGTTTTAGTTACAGGGAGAAAAGCACGAGGCCTACGTGCGTGTCACCCTAAGTCAGCACTACCGGGCGGTGAAAGAAAAGCGAACCTGCGTCTCCAAACCGTCAATTGACGGAAACCACAGCTTCGCGGAGGGATTCAATTTTAAATTGATCCCCTCGCAGGCGGACATAACAAGCTTGGCGTTTCACGTTTTTCAACACACATCGGGATACGGTAGGGGTACGTGTTAATTGTAGTGCAGCGCTTACTTAAAAGTTCATGTAGCTTTTTTTATCAACTTTGCATTTAGCTTTGTGTTAAAGCATCGATGTAAGGGACACCTGCCTATATATTGAGAGATGCCCAACCGTTTTTGTTATTTGTTAAACAATGAGGGTGCTCATGGAAGTCATGTTTAGGATGATCTAGGCCCTAGGGTAGCCCCCAATCCAGTGACAAAAGCTGTGATGAGTGGAGAAACATGGAAACACGAGTAGATATGTGAATAAAAGAAACAAATCGTTTGCAATATTGGATAAAACAAGTGGTTCTCTCAGATTAAGCTTTATTCGCGATTCCGATTGACAGTGAGACCTCTGGTCACAACGCATTGTAATTACCATTGGTGGGTTAAGACCGCCATTTTATTTATATTTATTCAAGGAGGCCGTTTTAAAGCAAAATCAACGTAAGAGAATGTCAGCGAGTTGTTGTCAACGATTAAATCGGGCCATGGTTACACCCATTCCTCGGATACAAGTGATTGGGAAATGTTCGTGATTAGCGCCCGTATTCGTTTGGTCTCAAACGAGAATTATTGGGTAAAAAACGAAAAATTGTTATCGTTCACGCAAATATACGGTGACAAAATTATGCATCGCCATGCATTTAGTATGAATTTAAAAACAGAAAAGGCTTCCGTCGGCTACAAGCTCGGGTTCAATTTCAATGCGCCAATTTCTATATCCTCAAATCGTAATTAGAAGGAATACCTACCATTATTTCCAAAGTTGGACGACTAGAGGATAGTTTAGCTTTGAACTACGGGTAAATAAGTGAATGTGTATTTTTATATTCAATACAGTCCGTGTTCTTCAAAGACTTTAATTAACGAAATTTTGAATTGTTTGAACCGTAAAAAATAGAGAGATATTCTTGAAACATTGGATCTAATTATTTTATATTTGTTTGATATTGTAAAGACAACATTTTTTCCATTGTAAATAACATTCGCGCAATTTTCCATTTTTTTTGGGTTCAATATTAAATAACGCAAGTCGTCTAAGTGAGTCCAATATGAAAATTATAAATTGTCAATGATTGTGTAGAAAACACTGATATTTCGTTTCCGTGTTGAAATTTGTAATTTAAGGGTTTGATGGTAGCAATAGAGCGTGGTCGCGTTTTTCAATGAAACTAAGAAATTTGTCTGAAGGTTGTACAGGAGGGTTGCACTGATTTACGAGATGAATTGTTGCTTACGCTAATGCAGTAGGTATCTCAGATATCCATGTTCTAAATAATTTTGCGTAACTCCATTGGCACTTCAAAGTACTTTGTAATTTGTGTCTTCAATTTAAATTACATTAACACGTTGGGCATTAACAATAAATATGTACTCCCCGCATGCCTACACATATGTATAGCCTGATATTGACTTTACAATACAATTTTATTTTAGACAAATTAGTTGGGAAATGTGTGCTGGGTTCCTACATGTTCGCAAGAGGAAAAGCGCTCACGCACTGGAATACAGCTATTGCCAACCCCATGGAACCATTGCAACAGTGGCATACCTTAAATGAATAAGAAAAAACTCTTTACGGCGGTGCTTCAACTGTCAAGACTGATCTGCAACTCACTTCAAAATCCACGTAATAGGTGTACATCCGTCTGTATCTACTTTACTGCAAAATTGTACCGCCTCCATTGAAGAGATGTAGGTTTGCACCGGAAGCCGGAAGTGTACTTTATATACTGTACGTTCCCTTACATGTGCTTAGTTTTAGCACAGACAGCATAAGTATGTATATGTCTGTGGTTTTAGTACCTCTAAAAGATGCAGTGTCATAACTCATGTACTTCCCGTTTCCAATGCGCGCGCACTACGTGATACATCATACCCTAAACAGTCTTGCCTCGAATGGGCTTTAGGGCTTAAGCCCACGCATGAAATGAGGAATTTAAATAACACATATTGTTATTTTGGCGTCATTATGAACATGCATAAAATATTTGCCATGAAATCCACAGAAGAAACTATTTTCACACTTCCCCATGACACACAGTATGTCATATTTGTCCATACCTGTATGTACCATATAATTACATAGTCAATAGATAAAAATTGATATTATTATGTTTATAAATGTATATAGAAATTTATGTAAATTTAATGTAGAGGTCTCGGACTATTTGTAACCAAAGTCAAATGCGCCAAAACTACAAGAGGCTATCTTGCCCTCCTTTTAATAAAGTAGTTTTGTTAATTTGACTCTGTAGGTCCGCTTATCTACATACCCTCGCTGTAAGAAGTGTAGTTCAATAAAATACCTTTTGACTGTATATTGCACTTGAAATCAATCTATGCACATCCTCACCAAATCCACAAACCATACCAATCTGTTGAATGTATTGATGCATACATCTACATGAATCAAATTTAAAATGGAATACGAACTGAAGAAGCCAAGGTGAGTTAATTTCATTTCAAGATAAAAATTTTCTACATTATGTAACTTATTGACAATTTATATTGTGATAATCCACCCTTATGGTTAGGCAACACACCTTTACATCTGAAACAAAAATGATATGCTCTGTATATAACCAATCGACCGTTTTGCTCATATGCCTAATACTAGAGGATTTTCGTAACGAAACTAGGCGAAGGAAGGAAGGTGGAGACGAAGTCGACGGAAGGCATTACGCTTTCCCGTTTTTTTTTATTCTTGATTATTTTGATGGTGGTGCTTTGAAGGTGTATTTACAGGTGGTAACCATTTTATTCTTTCTTGTACTAGCTATTAATAATTGAATTTGAAAGGTTCCACCCTGTATATACAACTTACGACGATACATACATTTTTGAGAGTTGGCAACCATGCAATTTCTAGGTGGGGAAAAGCTGCCTGCGCCACCTAGAAAACACGAACGGGGGTTACGTTTGGCATCTTGTCTTGAATGGCGGTCGTGAACGCATCGCTCCATAAATGTTTGTTGTTATTTTGTGTTATTTAATGCAGGTAGTAATTTTTGAATTTTTTTATATATCGTATTTGTGTTTTGTATGCCGCATTTTATATTTTTGTGTTCCAATCTTTGTTTTTGAAATTTACTTGGTTTAACCGTAATGCAGAATCACATGTGTGATACCGTTATGCTATTGTTGTAATTGTTTACGTTTTTGGTGTAATGCTTGCTTAATTTATGTTTATTGATGTTGATTACTTGGTCTTTTCCCTGAAGTTATAAGTTTTGATAATTTTATTTTAATATGTGGAAATTACCGATTCGTTTGATATATGGACTGACTTGTTGTTTGTTACTAACATTCTCCGTGAATGAAGCGGTCACGGGGATGGAAAAAACGGTAGTCAAAATTGAGTACGACACCTAATTCCGTGATTGTCGTCGACATCCAACTGTACGCTCGAAATCCCGAAACCAGGGGCGGGCTACCCATTTTGCAGGAGCGGGATTACGCTAATCAAAACTCTTCTATGTGCGATAAATGAGTGGCGATTCAATAATTTCCACATATCTTGTTTTTAGTTAAATCTGCCTACAAGGCCATGTAATTTTCCATCTTACTTTTAACATAAGGACTTTATTGCACCAAAGATGAGTCACATCCTGTACTCTAAATCCTTTGTCAGAATTTAGGTACCTGATCCTACCTAACCCATTGTTCCCAAAAGCTTGCTTTTAACCTTGAGTGTAATCAACATTGTGTATATGCATTTACTGTCTTTGTTAAATATTGCTTAAACTTTTACAAAATATTTTGTTAATTAAATTTTGGACTGTATTAATCAAACTGCGAGTTTTTCTTTCGTCGTACTCTTTTAACCCTTAGCAGCCCTTTTGGCTTTCCTTGCTTTGTTTATATTAATGTACATCAACTAAATTTCGGGGCTTTCACAATCTGAATAATTACGATCATTATTAAACAAACTTTTCACAATTTCAGTGTTTTATTTAACGTTCCTTCCCTACTGTGCTTCAGATCAAAGCGTTGTCTACAACTAACGTAAGGGGGCCCTGCCTTAGATGTTTGATCACGTGCCACTTTTCAAATTTAAGCGGGATCTTGTTTAGTTTTGGAGGGAATAGTTTTTTGGGTGGCCATTTTTAAACGTTGCCGGGTTGACTTTATTTCTGTGTTCTTGTAGTGTGAAGTTAGTGTAGAACCTGGGGGTTAAATACACTACAAATTTCTTGCCAAAATTTGATATTATTTACATTTTGCATAAACTACGATATCTTAATCATAGCGTACTCCATGCCTTTGTTTTGAGTACCGTTATCTAAATCATGTTTGTTATACTGTATAGGTGATTATACCATTAATTTGTTTTATTAATTCCTGTATTCACGAGGAGTTGATTATCAGTGCGATGTTGCTCTGTTCGATTGATCCGTAACCATTATGTGAGGAAAATACCTAATACAGTTTGATTGTTCGCTGTATCTGTTACTTTCTTATTCGTGGCGCGCTGCAGTTCTTCTGCGTTAGCTATACGAAGGGAGGCTCTCTTATTTGATGTTTCGATGTTTGTGTGTGCGAGTAGTTCATTCTGTCTCCGCGGAGTAGGTACCTAATACAGTTCGATCTTTCGCTGGATCTGTTGTCTACTCCTCTCGGGCGGATTGCAGTTCTTAGCATCTTAGCAATGCGAGTAGGGGCCCTCTCATTAACATTTCCACTATTTAAAATGTGTTCTGCTAGAGCGATAATCGATTTTCACCATGAATACTTGCTATTGGCATTCTCACATGTACTTTTCGTGTCAAATAAAATTATGTTAACTGAAGGTTGGAGTAGAGCCACACCATTTCCGTTTCCTATGTGTATGCAATTTATTATTTTACGGGTTGTGTTATCTCAATTGATCGTACAGGTATTTTGATGTGTTTTTGTACTGAATTGATTTGTCCTGTTTTCCACTGCATTTATGATGTCTTGTGTATTTTGTTTTGATGAAGTTGTTTATTTGATTTGATTATCTGATTTTCATCATACAATTTGGGATGTTTTATTTATCTGTATTTTCTCTTGCATTTTATTGCTGTAGGTGATTTATTTCATGTATTTGTGTGGCTTATGCCGCGGTTTTTGACCCGTAGGTTTCCCTGGCATGGTCTTGTTGTGTGCGTAATATATTTATTTGTTCTTGACATTTCTTACGCACAAAAGTTCTGTCTATTATTTAATTCCCTTCCCGATGATATCTCACATCCCAACACATAAAAGAACCGATTACACAGCGTAGGAGTTCATTCGTGGCACCCATATCGAACCGACTACCATCCAAATTCAAAAGTGCCGCGAAACGTCCATTGTTACGACTTGAAAGATGGGTGGCTCTGCTTGTAGTTTTTTTGCCAGTTGCCAACGGTATGTATAGGGTAAGTCAACGTTTTCAGTGTCGGCTTGATAGAGCCCTAGGAACATTACACATTTTTCAACAATCATTGTAGATTTTTCAATTTTCCGTAAAAAACTGCACATACCAAAAGACGCTGAGCTTATCCTAGGGGAATTTTACAGTACGCAGTAATCCCCGGATCACGTCGACATTGCCAAATAATACGGAAGAAAAAGATATTGTGATTTTTTATATTGTTCATTACTGCGGTAATGTGTAAAGAATTTCAAGTAGCAAATTAAGTTTCCTATTGTTTATGTGTATTTTAACGAAATTTAACTGGAGAAAAGTTTAGTTTTTGAATTGATTGGATTATTATTGTCATATCAAGAGTTTCAGTTGATGAACTTATTCCCATTTATGTTTACGTCACGCCATATGACGATACGGTGGTTAGAATCTTGACATATGTAGACCAACCAACAGAGTTATTTTTTATTCAATATATTCAACTATTTAGTAAAATCTCGAGTTTTTATTATCGATCAGAGTTTTGCTAGATTAATGCAAGTTAATAGGAATCAGTTTCCTGGGCCAAAGAGCATTTAAAAAAATCAATTTTCCCTGCGAGAACCGTAAAGTAAGATCAAATAGTTTCCAATCGATTGAGCTCAGTGTAACCCATATTTCGATAAATTTTAAAGTAAACAGTTGTAAAATTGTTATAAATACCTGTTACATATGTGGAAGGCCGGTTTGATGGTCGCACTCCGCTAGCCGTGCCGCCAGCCACTATACGGCTTCTTACTACAGGACCTTTAGGGTGAAAGTGCACCCCGTGTCACGACCCATCGCCAATTCTCTTAGACATCTGCATAAAAGTACCTAGGCCACGCGGATGATAAGCTCATATAGGCATACTGATAACAGGCGCACTGATAAGTGCATTCCGTGGTCGGGTCGAGTTTTATTGTCGCGAATGCAGAAGCTATTATTTTTGACAACCAGAAAACGCTACAGTTCTAGGACCCAAAGTTAGGGTGAAGAAAGGAAATTGGTTGCTTAATTTTAACAATCGACAGGCGGCTACCGTTTGGCAAACGCAGACGCAACATTAGCGATAGCGAGAACTATGCGTGCGGCTGGCGGGAAGATCACTAGTAACACAAACCAAAAGGCCTACATAAGACCGATTCAGACGTACGACTGTGCGTACTGTACTGCAAAGTAGGAGGGGTTAAAAACGCAGCCTTGACTGAAACTCCGCCTCCTGAAAAATAAAGACACCAACACTTACTACATGTTTAGTGTAAAACTTAACAAATTCTACTTGAGAACATTTTAATCAATTAATTTCTTCCTTGTTTGCTGTTGGATCAGTTAAATGGTCAGCGTCATCGACACTTTCTTCTATTTCCCGATGACTTAACGATTCCGAAGAAGCAGTACAATGAATAAAACTAAAACCAAGACCCATTTTACCAACCGTAGATAGTAACTGTAGATACTTACAGAAAACTGCACAGTACAACGACTTGAGACGCAATAGTAACATAAAAAATTGCCTCGGGATGATTGTGCAGCGTTTTTTTATAAACCTGATTGTAAACAGTTGCCGACACTATTGGTATCGCATTGTCTGCAACTGCCAGCATGGAAAACACTTTGCCTGAAACACCCGTGCCTTAAAAGTGTTAGCGCGCAACAATAAGACTTACCTCTTTCTGCCACAGCGACTAATTTCGATACCATGGATCTAATAATTGGCGCAACTACAGGGCCCAAAGATGCGAACACACCGCCCAAGTAAAACATCCAACCGACGTTGGCCGACGCGTAAAATATTCTAGCTGCAATATGCGCAAGCGCCCCGATCAATGCGATAATCGTATCTCTCCAGCCCAACAACTTGCTCATCAGCGGAATGGCGACCAGCAACATCACGTCTTGAATTGCAGATTGAAAGGTGCGAAACGTACTGACTTGGTCGAAATTCCAATTGAACACCCATTGTAAATACAAGTAACTCATCTGCCTCTCGTCCCTTTGAAACGTGTACGTCGCCATTGCTAGTATGAGCAACAGCAGGAATGCTCTTTGCGTAAATTGGCGTCGTTTGAAAATTGTTTTAAACGTGTCCACCACGTGCTTATAATCGAAGAAATCCGTAACAACGTTGTTCGCGTCGGATATTGGCCTTTGTTTGTCATTCGTGCGCATCTTCAGCCTTAAGCCAGTATAGATTATAGCTGCCACAAGCAAACTTGCATTGATAATAAACATTATAGTATACGACCTATTGGTTACGTCGCTAAACAAAAACTTGCCTACAACACTGACCGATCAATTAACGAAATTCGGCACAAGCATCCTCACCTAGAGCGATTCCAGTCGGCATAGTTGCCAAGTAGCACACTTCCAATATAGTGACACGCAAAGTTCTGCTATTCGAAGAACTAATATCTGAAATGTACGCGAAAGCAGCCGCGAAAATTGCCACATCCGCGCCGGTAATTGTCATGGGCAGTGTCGCTGTGTAAATAACATATTCGACGGGCCAAGTGTAATATACACTATTTACAACGATCATTACTGAGTAGTAACATTTGCCGATTAAACCTAGTAGTAACGGAATTTTTCTGCCACGCTTGTCGGACCAGGCGCCCATAAAGAAGGCCAGTATTATTTGACCGCCGTGGCCCGCGATGTCGTTCCATTGATGAAATTCGGACACTGTAAGCTGAAAGACTGAAAGAGTAAGGCAAATATTTTTTTATGTTGCGGGTAGTATAATTAGCTACTGTAGATTTCGATACAAATGGACCTACCTGCACATGTTTATTTGCGTCGGCATTTATCGGATTGGATATATCATCACAGATGGCTTGAGTGAAATTGTGGTTCACCCTGCAAGCCTTATCAACGAAGAATGCCTGCTCAACAATGGAAGTCGTCATGAATGCCATCATGTATAGCACCATTGATGGTTCCACCGTTATCAGTTTGATAAAGTTTATGAAACTGACTATCCCATTTTTTAAATGAATCTGCAAAGAAATGAGACATTTAATAGATTTACTCACAAACTAAAGAAAAGTCGAACACTGTTTGAAGGTGTTCAACGCAATGGAAGTCTATATTGTGCATTTCTCATTGTAGTATCGCCATCCTGTGTTAGTAACAATGGCAACTCCTAAATTGTAAGCTTTATCTTCACGAACATTTTTTAATCTTTTTGTTTAAACTCTGCTTGCCCAAATTACAAGCGACTCAAAATTTACTGGGTTCATAAAAACAGGTGGCAATTTTTTTAACCGTTACAAACACCTTAAATTTCAAATCCTAACTTTGCCCAACACTACAGTGGCTGTATAAAAACAATATGGCTAAATGCTTTATGCCCGCCATCTTTTGTCCAAATTAATCATGATCGTCGTGCCATTTCGCGACTTCATACGCGACGCGCTACCTCGGAGGGAAAATCTGAACGAATCGCTTACACTTACTGGATCATAAACCCGAACACATCAAGAATGTAAGTTACATCTTGTTAAAATAAACAAAAGTTGCAATTATACTAAAGGTACAAAACGTAAGACCCTGAATCTGTAATCAATTTTTTTTAAGTTTCACACTTACCTTGCAATACCGACACATATTCTAGAACAGTCTTTGCTAATTGGTTGATCGTCACATTACTGTACCATTAAAATTTAGGTAAACAATATCTTGGGAAAACAAGTTAGAGGTCATTTTTAACGTATAAGAGATAAATGGAATCAAATAAGTTTATTTAATTACGTATACCTAACAATTAAATCGTTTTTCATAGATAGTGATTAGATACACGAGAAAACATCACCATTAAATGGAGGTTGGGCTTATTCAAAATGACGGAACCAATGTAATTAAATTTCGGCGACAATCCAACTATACATATAATTGCCTAATAGGTAGAACATACTGTCTCATTTCCTCGCACAACATTTTAAAGGCAAGAATATACACTCTGCCCCTTCCACCCACCCGCTTCAGCCGGCTGGCGGTTGTCTCGGTCATTGTACTTGTTGTGCTCCACGTGCAAACTTCTGCGTTCTGTTCCTCCAATTTTAGATTTTTAATCATCCTTGGACTCGTGATAAGGTACGATTATCTTTAACCTTTCCCTTGCAGCCACCTTTTTTTCTTTTGGGGAAGCCTAAGGAATCTCATCGCGCGCGCCTTCGCAGCCGTAGCCGCTCTCGGCCCTCACGCCTACCCTTACGCGCGACAGAATCCCGCCGCCTTTCAGGCAGGAGTAACTATGACTCTCTTTGACCCTACCGAGCGATAACGTTAAGTTATTGAACCAGAGAACTAACGTGAAATTCTTCCTATCGTAGTGGTGCACACGATTAAGTTGACACGAGTCATAGTTCCCGCTGGTAACTTTCCTCCCTGTGTGGAAGGATCAAGTGTTGCGGAAGGACTTACGTCCTAGGCAAAACGGACTATTGAAAGAGAAAGCGTGACGGGCAAATTGTTAAATTGGTTAAAGCGTTTGGATCTCCAGAGAATTATGTCTCAAGGTCTTGCGACCCAGAGTTGCCTTCGCCGTAAACTGGTTCTACGCGTTTCCACCTTTCTCACTAGTACATCGGGTATACAAAAAATTACCCGCTCAATCCTGGTTGCCATTGTTTTTGCGCTTAGCTCTTACGGAACGTCGAAACCACCTCCAAAGACTTATCTTCTTTTTTGTCCCTATTTAATGGACTATCTCACCCCCTGACGACTGCGCTTTCCCTGATGGTGACCAAGTTATCAGGGGTGCCTGAGACTGCAGTGGTTACTATGATGTCCTCAATATCAGATTCTTTACTACAGTACAATATTATATTGAAGAATTATTATCGTTTTGCTTCATATCTATGTAAAACAAATGTTGTCGCAGGTGCGCGCTTTAGGTAAGAGTACATTAACAATAGAATAAAGACGTGGAAACGGACATGATCAAGAGAATGAAGAGTTAAATAGAAGAGGAAGGATTTTAACGGAATCTCTTCGCGTTTGGCCGTTTCTGGGAAGTCAGGCTTTTGCCAGTGTAGAAATCGTTCCAAAACTGAAAGATGATTGCGCAGAAACTAATTTTAGTACGAATACAAATGTACAATCTAACCTAAAAATTTTGGCATGTTTGAACATGTTTACAGCTGTTTTACAATTTCTTCGAGTACAAAAAGACGGATTGCCCTTTGTGATCATAATACAAACACACTGCAACGACGTCATATAGCCAAAATGATAATCGGAAACGTAATTTCATGTAAAAAAACACATGACGAGAGACCGCCTACCAAGAATTAAAATGTGGCCAGTGTGCCTATGCAACGAATGATAAATATGATTATAAAACACATTTATTAACACGCCAAATCACCTAGGGCTTAAAGTGTGTCCAGTGCGATTGGCGCCACACATAAATCCAGTCTTAAAGCATATCTTAACATCTAACATGCTAAGGATTTAAACTGTGGCCGGTCTGATTTTGTCACTCTGAACCACAACCCCCTAACCCCCCCCCCCCTTCATGTTCTAAGGAAATAACACGCCACACGCTAGTGAAAAAATCACAAAATGCAATCCCACTTATTCTGCAACACCCTGTGGATACCAAGAAAGGTTCCCCTGTGACTTCGTCTGTTGGGATTATGTTAGGGAGGTGGCTCTGCAAACAACTCGGGCCGACCTGCGGAACCGTGCCGCTGGTACCGTACACTCAGTAACAGAAAGGACACATTTGACTTTATAATTAATGCGTTTAAACATTTTCAAATACATTATTAAATGCCACTTAATTAAACTGGGCCCATCATTATAAATATCCCTGTACAACTCTCATCGGAAGCTGCACTGGACCTTTTCATCGATGTAATTTTTTGTGACCTGTAATAGCGAGTATAAGGCGCCATCAAATCGATAAAGAAAGTCACCGGTTATAAGCAATGCGACGCACTCTTTGCTTGAGCATAAGCAAATTGAAGAATAGTTGTTCCAGTATCGATGCCGAAGTTACGGGTAGTGATTTTGCGCTCGTTTGTTATAAATCTACGTGTGTTATCAATCAATCTATTTAACGAATATTATAATTTTATTAATAATTAATTGTGAATAAATAATCACGTAATTACATTTACGTTACACTATGTAACGTTTCGTTCCCCTATTAAAGTTTTGTTCTTAGTATAGATAGATGTATTGCATTCTTTATAATTTGAAAATAATTACAGATTAACTGTAAAAAAACATTTTCCAATAATAAGCAAGTGGGGAGAACAAGTCGGTACCTACTATCAATTTATGAGTACAGCGGTGTGAAACGGGGACTGTACCCAGTGGCGGATTTACATATAGGCACACTAGGCACGTGCCTAGGGGCGGCAGTTTTAGAAGGCGGCATTTCTTGCACTAAGTATATTTATTTTAGGTAACATATTAAGTTTTAAAATAAGTCCCCTAACAAGTTACAAACAAAAATCTTTAAATAAAATTATGAAATAAATTGGAATTGGAAGATAGTTTAAACAAACTGTAACTGTAAGAACGGTAATCTACAATGCAAGTTTTGACGTGTGTGAAAACTTAGTGTGTACTGTATTTCTTTTCATATTAGTTTTAAAAATTTCAAGTTATAATTTGGTTTTTATTACCATCTTAAAATTTATGGCAATTTAAAGATTATTTTGGGGCGCCTATCTTTCGGTGTGCCTAGGGGCGCCAAAAATTTAAATCCACCACTGACTGTACCTGTGCGCTGCCCTGTAGGACTATTGAAAGGTTCGCTTTAAGGAACTGTATTTTTTTTATTTAAAGCGTTATTTTTGGGCGCACTGCATATTTTATTTAAAAAAATAAAAAATAAATAATTAATTAAAAAATAAAGGCAAAATAAAATAAAAATAAAATTTTTGGCCACACTGCATATAGATTTGATTGAATACAAAGAAATTAGTTTATATTGACTATGGTGAAGTTGGTATCTTGCATGTAATCTACATGAAATTGTTACGAATTAATTTCAAAGGGAATTAATAAAAAGAATCGAATAGGATTGTTTAGTCTCAGTCTTAACATAGATGTCAAAGTGATAAATAATGAATTTTTATAAATCAGTCAATTTAGAAATCTTTGTAAATTTTGTTTATTGCTGATAATGTTAGTTCCTGTGAACATTAATAATTAAATTTATATCAATAAATCAAGTAATTATATTATACTTACAATATTTTCACTTCCAGTCTTAGTGGAAGTTCAAACAAACTTGCTCATTTTAAATTTCATTGTTAGATTCTACGTAAAATCCTACATAGGTACATTTTATGTACAATGGTGGTAAAGTGCTAAAAAAAGTGACAATGATTTAGTGCCAGATTGATTTTTTTTCACAGCCATGACGATGAATCATAGTACCTACTCATAGCCAACTAACAAAAATTCTTACCAAAATTATACTATGTGATCAAAAATTAGTTGCTGTCGAGTTAACTTTGGAATTTTTGTTTACATGGGAAATAAAGGCGACTCGACAGCAGCTCATTTTTGATCGCCCGTTACTTAGCAAATAATATTTGACCATGCTATATGAGCAACTATACACACTACGCAGGTAGTAACAATCCAAGCCAGTTTGCATCCTGTTTAATGCGCCTAGAGTCTAGGAGAACACAATGCTCCCCAACACTAAACTGATCTATGATGACTAGGTAAATCAAATGCACTATTTCCAACAGATATAAGAACGTTCGACACTTCGAAGTAGAGAAAAAAAGGGCGGTCAGTTCCAATTAGTTTACATTGTAATGCACCAATTACTAGCTGTTTAAGTTAAGTAGAGTATAGGTAGGGTAAGATTGTGGCCACCCTGTATAACTTAATTAGGAATCCTTGAATGTGCGTGATTAGACTTGGAAAATTCGTCGGGAACTTTCTACGGCAGCGAAGTTCTAAGGTCATTGAAGAGTACAGCAGTTCTTAGAGTATGTATTATACTACGGTCTGTCAGTTTCGAGACATTCTGCGATATCGCAAATTAAAGCAGAAGTGTGCGCTATTAAACCAGTTTTTTAATTGCTCATACGAGAGTTACACTTCGACGTGTAGAGCAATGCTACCCTTGCAAGGCTAGTGCAGAGATGCACTTGCCCTTAACAGCTACAGCATCCCCAAAGGTAAATTTAAACTATTATAGCTTTAAAACAATTAAGAATCTGTATTGTATTTTGATTGGTTAATTTTCATATTCAAATGTTTCATGCACCAATAAGAAAGAAGATAAATTACTAACTACACCATGCTACTCTTGGGTAATATACATACCACAAATAATTCGGCACCCCCGGCAATTTAAATAAATATTCAAAACTTACCCAACAATCATGTGGCATTGTTACGAAAGCTCATTATCACCGAACAATCAAATTGTTTGTCCTTGTACCTAACCTAAAAGTAAACCGCATTATTACTTTTCCCTCGCATTTCTTTCTCTTTATAACCTGCGGTACAAAGTGCGAGTAAGGAAGGCGCACTAATTTAGTTAACAACGGCATTTTAATGATTTTATTTGTAAAAAATCGGAAAGTTTGGAAAATTCTTACTGAAGTTAGGAGCAAAGCGAATCTGGACGCATTCATTGTTCATTGTTGTGAGAGTCGGAGGGGGCATACTTGTCCGTAGCTTGTGAATGCAATCAAAATGTCCGCTCATATTCAGGGCCGGCTTTAGGCGTAAGCGGTGTAACCCGTCGCTTATCAAGAAGGGGCGCAAAAATTTCTCATGTTTAATGACTGATCGACCACAGACGTAAAAGTCCATACACGGGAAGATATTCATAAATAGCAGATGCGTTATGCCTTCGGAAAACTCTGTAGCATTTTTGTACAACTTTGCTTTTCAAAAACACATAAACCTACAAATAGGTAACCTAATGTTCAATTCCGCTGAATTGGAACTAGCGGAACATTGGCTGATGGGCTCTATACAGGGTGTTAATTAATTTGATTCAGATATTTCAGGGGGTGATACTCGTCAAAATAAGAAAAAATTCAAATATATGCATGGCCTAAAAGCCGCCGTTTTCGTTATATCGGGTGACAAAGAAAATGCAACACCCTATATATTCCGACCAAATATTTTAATACTTTATTGTAGTAGTGATATAATAATCATAAATTGATCTATCAAATTTGAAACAATTATCCCAGAACAAAATTGAAACTTTGCCACCCTGTATAACAAAAATGGCGTCCTTTAGACCACGCACATATTTGCATTTTTTTCTTATTTTGACTAGTGCTACCAGACCACCCCCTGAAATATCTGCATGACATTTAGCGCATTTTCCAACTCATGTTGGAAAGTGCTATTATGGCCACTTTCTCCGTCCGTCTGTCCGTCCGAGGTCTTAACTACTTCTACAGTTTTCAAGATATGTAGTTCGTTCTTTTTGCATTCGGTAGCTAATAGCTTTGCCATCCTGGCCAAGAAAATCATTACGATTAATATGCGCATGCGCAAACTGATCGATGTCACTTTTCTTATTTATGGAGATAATTCTTTAACATTTAAAACCACAGTGATGCTTCTAGTAAAGACAAGCATATCGTATATTCAGACGTGCGCATGCGCAAACTATGCGTCAACTTTCTTATTTATAGATATTTTTTTAATTTGAACCAGAGATTCTTCTAGTAAGGGCAAACATATCGCATACTTTAAACATCAGGTGTGTGCATGCGCAGACTACGCAATCTTAAGTTTCTTATTTATGAGAATATTTATGCCATAACTTATTTTCCTTTGTATACACGAACAGTCTGTTGTATGACGTCTGCCCGGACGTACTGATGAATTCATTCGTGGAAAATGCGGTAAAGTTAGGTACTCGCCTTAAGGCGAAAACTATCATTTTTAAAAACATGCTTGCCAAAAATTTCCATTATTCAGGCTTTAGCGAGGCGGGCAGAGGCGCAAATTCTAGTGCTTGCTTATCCGTAACTTTTGCCTTGAGCCGGCCCTGCTCATAATAATTTTGAGTTTCAAATGATACAAACAAATATTACTTTTTTGCAATTTTTGCGAACTAGCTCAATATAATGATATTTTTAAATACATTTTTCCAGAGGAATGGGCCTTTGTCTCTATGCTTAAACAAATAAAATCGTTAAAAAATTATAAGCTCACATGATCCAAATTTTAAACTATTCACATAGACAGGGGGAGTCTAAATTATTAAGCGTATTTCATACGCATAAAAAAACAAACCGGTGTACATCACATGCAAAGCAAAACGACAGAATGTAGAGTGCTCTATATTCTGTGGCAAAATTCGCTTCTAAAGGGGCGTTAGGGTTCATAGCAGTCCGTCCACATCGTAGGTACGTTTAGAAGGTATAACCATAACCTAAACATTTTTGCCCTCATTCGACCACTTTACACGTGCGAAAAATTACAACACAAAATTTTATAATTCCATTTTTGTAGAGTTATTAGGATCACAGAATTTAATTTCGTGCGTTTAAAACCTCCACTATCGTTCGTATTTATCGTAATAATTTCTAATTCGCAAATTATCCCTTGAAATTGAAGGTTACCCAAACTTTAGTATGTCGTATTAGCACGAAATTTCTTCGATAGTAATACACGTCTCTCTCGATTATTAAGATGTCGCACTAATATATAAAACCACCATGCACTAATGTACAGATCTCACTTCTAATCCCGAATTTTCTTTTCACAAAATGAAACACACCCCACGATCATTTACCGGTTGTTGACTTCACTTCGCTTACAGTTCAATGCGAATTGCCCGACTGTTCTAAAACAATGAACTTCTTACTTTATTTTTTAGCGAATTTTTGAAAGAAAGTAGTAGTAGTATATTATTCAATTCGATATTCGATCGATCGGTCGACCGGTCCGTTTTTTAAGTATAACTCTTGCAGGAATCATCGTAGAATGCTCGGGTTTGAAGCATTAGCGTTGTGTCGCAATTCTTTGCACGCAAGATTATATTTTACCGCTAATAAAACTTCGATCTGACCCACAAAAACCCGCTTAAGTAGCTTGACGCACCGAGTGCTCTCCAACTACTATAGTTTAGATTGACAACCACCCCTAGACGCAATTTTTTTTTCAACCAATGAACTAACCCCACACAACTAATCAGGATCATGATGACAATAAATCGACTAAACCTAGAGAAATTTCCCGTTTTTCTGCAAATCCCACACAGCAGCCCCGATAACGACGACTGCAACACAAACAACTTTTTTCTGTAACCTGAAGCAATCACTCCGCATCCCACGACTAACCAGCGCCTTAAGTTTTCAAACGAATTTAAAACGCCAGGACCGTATTTAAGAAATACTCGCCCACGTGCAACAACCATATAATCCTGCGTGCTATCATCTAAAAATAGAACTCAAAATCTTGTGATTCTACCCTCCAAATTGCAGCACAAGGGTTGCGGGAAAAATGCTGTTGTTTAGTGACCAGTCCCCCCTCTACAGGGTATGTATAAAACAAAAAATCATATTGGAAATTATAGTGCATTGTCTAAATTGTTACCGTTATGATAACTATAACTTTTTAATAAGGTTATGGGGGCATTTTTAACAAGAAAACAAAAAACTTACCATTTCAACAATATTAACGTTAAAATTGCATTTGTAATTTAACATGAATTCATAATGAATCCTACTACATCATAGATAACTGCGGACTGAAGCACCCGGTACTATAGAACGTTACTCAGATTACTTATCAGACAAAAAGTACCTACTTCAAATAATCATTCAATTGTACCTACTTACGTAGCACACAGGCGTTTGTCCCCATGCAACAGGTTTGCATTATACCTATATCGTCCAAGGATTTTCCATATAATGGTTTGCATTTCTGTAAACAGGTACTGAATTTTAATGTTCAGATCAAGTAGTAAAATAATTCTCCCCCGTACTTGATTTGTTTCAGATGGCCAGTTAATATTCATTCGGTGTCTAAACCTAGAGACTTCAATTCTCTTTGTGAATGTCATTAACTGTTTAGCCCGTAAAGAGGTATTATAAATGCCGAAGTTATAAAAGTACCTAGCGATTCATCTCAAAATACAACTTTAGTTTAATGTTACCGTATCCAGGACCTTAGATACCTTCTGGACTGGAGGGGCCCGGCTAATTATAACAATGTATTTCATGTACTTTATGTAAGAGACGTCGAAATGTTAATTTTCACAATTGAGAAAGGAGTGGAGTTACTTTGAAATCTATTTGAGCTGACCATTCTTTGGCTTATCAAATGTGTTCAAATTCATTCATCGGATTGTTAAATATGAATACTGTAGATGTGATGAAAAATATTTGTTTAGCATTTACCACAGTTATCTCTCTTGCTCCAGATTTTCCCCTCTGTGAACAATGATTCGGAATTTTCTTCGGTTCGGTTCTTGTGTCCGATGAGTTCTAGGGGAACACGCCGGCATACCTTTGGCTTTAAATGCATTCTGTCTAAATTTGTAAGACATCTTTCAGCATTTTGATTCATTTTACACTTTGACAAATTAGCTTGGGGATGGGGACGAGGGAGTGCAACCCTGGTCTTTTATAACGTAGGGAATCCGGTCCTTGTTGAGTGCGAGACATAGACAAAGGTCCTTGTTGAGTGCGAGACATAGACAAAGCACATTTGTCTATGGTGCGAGATTTGTATTGCTACGTTGGCGATCCGAGTTTGGGTTTTGACGCTTTTGTTAGTGCTTTTTATATAATTACAAACTAAAACTCTCAAACATTACTATCCGATACATAAACAATCGAGTATGTACACTTCATATCAAAATCGACAACATGTCACTCAATTGCTGCAGACGTTTAACGAGTATGCTTTCAATTCAACAGAGGAACATTCTTCTCGTGATGGTCTTCACCGGTATTATAAACAGTTACATCCTTAGAAGTTGCGTTCACCTTGCCCTAACTGAGATGGTTGTAAAACAAGAAACCTCGGGCGGACGCGACTGTACATCGTCCAAATCTATTGACATAAATGTAAGTCGTATTTGTCTACCTGTATTACTGCTCTATACCGCAGCCGAATGGTCCCCGTTTTGAGTGGACTCAACGTCATCAAGCCGCTATACTAGTTTCCTTCCTTATCGGCTACGTACTGAGTCATACAACTGGGCATATTTTGCTCGATAAGTTTGAAGGTCACTACATTCTGGCACTGGGAGTACTGACATCAGCTGCTATGACTGCAATAATACCACAAGTCATTATATACAGCAATTGGTATGTGTTCTGCGGTATACGCTTAATTGTGGGTATGGCCCAGGTAGAGTTTGCCATGGTGGAGTGGTGACTGTAATTGATTTACAGGGACCTTTATTTGCTGGTGTTGCACATATATTTTCCAAGTGGATTCCCAAACAGGAACACCGAAAGGCATCACTGCTGGCGTATTTAGGACCGCACATCGGAAATATCGTCGCGTATATTGGGACGGGCATATTGATGTCGTCCACTACATGTTGGGAGGTTGTATACTATGTCTGGGGAGGGCTGGCCACTTTTTGGTTTCTCCTTTTTGCGATATTGTGTCGCTCGAACCCCGCAAATCATCCACTAATTACACCGGAAGAAAAACTGTTACTGGTCAATCAAACCGGTAGTACGCTCGGAGCATGAAAGACTTGAAATTCAAATCAAATTCTCAGAGTCTAGGCCAAGATTAAAGGTTTCTCGGAAGAAGATGTTGTGCGATTGGAAAACTCTGGGCATTATCTCTGGATGGATTGGGCATTCGCTTGTCTATTTCTTCGTTAACATTAGCTTACCAAAGTACTTGAAAGAGGTTATTAAAGTTAATGTTCTGGAGAATGGGATCATGAACTCCGTTTTCTACGCATGCGCAATGATTAGCATTTTTATTAGCATATCTGCCGGAGAAAAAAGTATGCCACGGGATGACTCGGCATTAAATACTAGGCGCTGCTTACTTATTTTTGGTAAGTGCCAGTACCATAAGACCATAAAGCAATACTCGTTTAGGAAATTTGGCGCCGTGTGTTTGCCTACTGCTAGCGGGGTACTTGGAGTGCGACCGTTACAAGGTCGGCTTTCTGATCGCACTGAGTGGTTTAGTAATGGGACCGTCGTACTTTGCCGTTCGATCCAGCATATACGATCTGACACATAATTTTGGCGCTGCCGCGACTGTTTTGGTTAATGGATTTGGAACATTAAGCTACATTCCAGTGCCTAACGCTATAGCTTATATTGCAAGCACTGTAGATATAAACGTCTATGGTTCGAACGTTGCAATAACATCTTGTTTATAGAACAGCCGCCAAGAATGGCTAATAATCTCTTTAACTCTGTTTGGTGTAACTGGGTTGACAACAATGATTTCTGTATGGAAATCTACACGACAAAGAGCTGACTGGGACTAACTTTCAAAGAAAGTACGTGTATAAGGCCGTTAAAGCACTCTGTAAGCAAATGTGGCATCACAAAAGATAGCCAGAAAGTTGTAAACACCTTTTACTAGTATTTTGAGCATCGCCCATGAATAAAAACCACCTTCAATGGCATTACTAATTGCACAGAAGTTAATCTGTGCTAATTGTATACATTCGCAGTGCAACATACAATAGGTCTCAGAGTAATATTGGCAACCATGCAATTTATAGGTGGGGAAAAGCTGCCTGCGCCATCTAGAAAGCGCGAACGGAGGTTACGTTTGGCATCTTGTCTTGAATGGCGGTCGTGAACGCGCCGCTCCATAAACGTTTGTTGTTATTTTGTGTTTTTTTTAATGCAGGCATCTTTGCATTTCTTTATATCGTATTTGTGTTTTGTATGCCACATTTTATATTTTTTGTGTGTTGAATCTTTGTTTTTGAAATTTACTTGGTTTAACCGCAATGCAGAATCACATATGTGATACCGTTATGCTATTGTTGGTAATTGTTTACGTTTTTGTGTAATGCTTACTTAATTTACGTTTATTGATGTTGATTACTTGATCTTGTTCGTGAAGTAACATTCATTTGTTTTAACCAGTTTATTTTAATATGTGGAAATTACCGATTCGATTGAGGTAAGTATGTACAGACTTATTGTTTGTAACTAACATTTTAATTTTAATTTCCGTGAATGAAGCAGTCACGGGGGTGGTAAAACTGTAGTCAAAATTAAGCTACGACACCTAATTCCGTGATTGTCTTCGACATATTCAACTGTAGGCTCAAAATCCCGAACGAGGGGCGACGCTACTTATCTTTCGGGGGCGAGATTATGCTAATCAAAGCTCTTCGGTTTAGAACCTATGTGCGATAAATTCGTAATTTCCGTATATTTTGTTTTTAGTTAAATTTGCCTACAAGGCCATGTAATTTTCCATCTTGCTTTAACAAAAGGACTTTATTGCACCAAAGATGAGTCACATCCTGTGTATTTCACTCTTTCTTAGAATCTTGGTACCTCCTTACTTGACCCATAATTCCCAAAAGTTGTTTTTAACCTATTTGTTACCTCTTGAAGTCGACATGCTACTTTTTGTGATGTTATAATTGACGTTACGCATTCACATCATTACAAACAATTAATTTTACTACACAATTTAATATTAATGTGACGGCTGGTTTTTTTATTGGTAAGTTCTTTTTTTCCCAGCCTATTTCTATTTTTATTGATTTTTGCAATGTCATTTATTTCGACTTAAATTTCCGAGCTTTCACAATTTTAATAATTGCGATCATTATTAAACAAACTTTTTACAATTTGAATGTTTTATTTTACGTCTCTTCCCTACAACTGTGCTTCAGGTTATAGCGTTGTTTACAACTAACGCAAGGGGGCCCTGCCTTAGATGTTTTATCACGTGCCACTTTTTCAAATATAAGCGGGATTTTGTTTAGTTTTGGAGGGAATAGTCATTCGGGTGGCCATTTTTAAACGTTGCCGGGTTGACTTTATTTCCGTGTTCTTGTAGTGTGAAGTTGGCGTAGAACCTGGGGGTTAAAGGTTCGAACAGTGTGGGCATTAAGTACATACTACAGTAAAAAAAGTTAATTTATGGCGAGTAGTTAATCCGGGGAAGTTTTAGAAGAGATTCGGTCTGGTCACGTAGATTAGTCGAGAAATAATTTCGTTTCAGCATTGCGAGAGTGAATGTTGCCGTTTCTCATCGGGCACCAGAAAAGTTGTGAATTTAAACGAGGGTTTCCTCCGTTTACAGTGAAATTAACATGTGTAGAAGTGAATTAAGGTGTCAGTTTTTGTTCATGCTAAAGACAAGGTTTATTTTATAAAGAAAGGACGATATAGTACCTCAGCAGTTGGATAGGTGAATTACCGTAGCGAAAAAATTATTACCGTTCCCAGTAGAGGACAAATCAATTAAACGTGCCGTGTTGTGTAATAAAATTTTGTTGCCTTATAACACAAGAGTTAGCCATTTAAAAATCTACGCCCAAAGAACAGGCGGACTTTGGCCTTGGCCGAAGGGAAATAATTTAATTTTATTTATTTATGTTGGAATCCTTAAAAACTGAAGAACAGTGAAACTGGAACCAAAGCCGAGAATTACTGAATCCACAGTATCGGAATCCTTATAAATAATTCTACCTAAATAGTCCGGCACCGGAATCTATATTTTATATGGGTTCCAACCCCTGATACTGCATCACGTGTAGGAAAATAGCCGTTAACTTTATAGCTCGAAACCGTTATCATTTTTTGTGTATATGTTTGATCAATTTATGGTTGCTTTTATTACATTGTGTCTGATTAGATTTAAGTTTCCCAATGTTAGCGAAAAAGACCATTAAAACTGCAAGGTCGTGCAGTTTATTTCATCATCTCAGGCCTTTGGAATAGAATTAGTAAGAGAAAGAGGGCGGATTTTTCTCGTAAAGCAAAATAACCTATCCTTTACTGTTTTTACGAGAGAACTCCACCTTCTTTCTCACAATGGGTACGTTCAGCCGACACAACTGTTGAGTAAGGGCCCAGATACGTTGCAGAAAACCTGGTCTGATTAGATTGGGTCTAGTATCAAATGAAGCGCGCTTAATTAGCATGAATTTCAAGATTAGTCCCCGATTGTAGGACGCCAGGGAAGGAAAAAAAAGAAGTTTTAATTTTGGACCTTACCATCCGCGTAGCCTACTGGTTTGTATTGGTGTAGATATTAAGTTTACTATTTTTAATAATTGAAAAAATAAGATACTTATTACAAAATTGTGCGCAAAAATCATGTGTTTGGATGCGCGTCGACAGAATTTGGAATCGCCGATTCATTTCATTTATAACATTGGTTTTTCAAATTAACGTACCTAATGGTGGGTTTATACAATCAGTATCATTAATTCACTTATTCACTATCATTAGATCATGAATAAATAGCCAATAGAAACATATTTATGGTTTCGTTGGTTAGCGACGCACAATAAACTTTTGTTTCTATTTGCCATTCCTTACTGATCTACTATGATAATGATTGTATAAACCCACCCAAACCTAATTTGCAAATTCGTATGTACAATGGTATTTATTAAGAAGTAGACATAAGGATTTACGTGTGTTGTTTTTCGCTATGTCTACTTTCAAAAGACAAATAATGTGTTCTGAAGGGCGCCTAATTTTATGTAACCAAAATAACTTCTGCAAACAATTAAAGATCTAGCTGTCATATTAATTAATTTGAATTGCCAAAAACACCTAAATCCCGTATGTTTACTTCTTAATAAATATCACTGTATATATTTGCAAATAATACCCATACTCTAATATTGGTTGAATACGCTGAATATAAAAATCCATAATAAAACCAGCCTTCGACTGGAAGGTAGGCAACACTCATACAAAGTCAGATTTGGAGAGCGTTGTAGTTCGGAGTGCCGTCACCGTTATAAAGTCATCCTGACCTACAGATTTGCAGTGGATCGGTGGGCGCTTTAAGACGAGCGGCTACAGAGAGTAACTGCGGTATAGCGTTGGTTATGTGTCTTTTTTAGGTTATTTGTAGGTCTAACTTGTTTTTTAAATGCATACTTATACAAGAATTCTTGATGAAGCTAGACGGCTCATGGAAGATATGGCAGGTGCCCCTTCCCCTCCACTTATTTGAAATGTGAACTTATAGTTCAGTCACAATGTAATGTTTATGTAGGTATCCCAATAGTGCCTAGTGCTAAGAAAACCCGGCTCTCGCCCAGAGGGCTCGGGTTCAATTCCCGGTACGGGAAATTACTTTTTGAACAAAAATACGTATTTACCCACCCATCGCAGTTGGACATTAGGTTATTTGCTTGAGATAGCCATCAAAATTAGTCTTCGAGGTTAAAGGACGAAGGCAAATGTGACGCAATCTTTCCGGGAAATATGACATGCTTGTTCGAGAACATTCTAGTGGAATCGAAAGGCACTTTAAATGAACCAATGAGCGTCTTTCGACCAGAGCATTATAAATTAACGATTAATTTTCATCGCTACCTTGCTAGGCGTCGGAGTGCACATCCGAAGCGTGTAATCAGTCGCTTTATTCGATGTTTGTACTTTAACTCAGTTATTTTTTTCATCGGCCGAATTTTAACTTCAACCTCATAATCTAAAACGACTGTACTAATCGATCTAGTAAGTAACTAACACGTATATGTCACATTCTCTGCTGTATGCTATTAAACATGCCACTCCACATATTAACATTTGTTAGCCAAGGTGAGTATACGGAGAGGTGTCCCTCCTACGCAAATGTACATGCCACCCATCTACAGAGAACAAAATTCAACAACGCGATATACATTGTTTAATGGTTTTCTTCGGAGTTATTGGCAGCTACATTCTGAGAGATTACACGCATGTTACGATTACGGAGATGGTAGCAGGATGTAAAAGTGTGGGCGAGGATTGTCGTACATATAGCTCCCCTATTGACGTTAAGTTAAGTTTGCGCACTTATCACCCTACAATTTGGGATCGAAAAATAGTTTACGTTTATAGGACCGGGAATTCACATGGAGCAATCGTCAACAAAGTGCCATACTGGCCTCCTTCTTCTTAGGCAGCGCTCTTAGTCTTATACCTGGGAGTCTTTGGATCGACAAGCATGGAGGTTATAGGGTTTTTTTATATGGACTATTAGCATCTTTTATAATGGCCTCATTTCAAGACATAATTAAATTCGGCGGCTGGTACTTTTTTTGCGCTTTCAGATTCATAAGCGGATTTGCGCACGTAAAATCATCCGAGACTGAATCAGTACTGCAATCATTGCTTTCTTATAGGGACCACTGCTTGTAAGTGCTTCCAATATACTTGCAAAATGGGTACCCAAAGGAGAACAGCCACGAGCGCTGCTATTGGTATTATATGCGGGCCCACTAATCGGCGGAATCATTGCGCATTTTGGAGCGGCGATATTAATTACGGTCACAAGTACTTCGAGAGCTGTATACTACTGTTGGCTAGGGTACATTTTGTTATATGCCGTATCATTAGTCAGCATTAGTTACCCCAACCCAGAGTCGCATCTACGAGTGACGCCCGAAGAGAGGCAATTGTTGAACCAAATTGGTATTGTACATTTCCGGACAGCTTTAAATTTAGACCCATACTCGCAGGGCCAGTGCCATTATTTCGAACTGTGTTGAAGAAAGGTTTATGCGATATGCAGACACTTGGCATTATTTGCGGATGGATCGGGCACTCCATTACGAACTTATTTGTCAATGTCAACCTGCCGCTGTACTTACGGAAGGTTCTCAAATTTAACATTCTGGAAATTGGGATCATTTTTGCCGCCTTCTATGTGTGCACAGGAGTTGGAATTCTTATGGCAACCAAAGCACAACGCTCTCTCACGAGATGGATTTCTGTAGTTAATGTTAGGCGATTATTTATTATTATCGGTATCGGTATATTGGCATTGACTTCAGCTTGACTCTTCTGTGCAGGAAATCTGGGGCCTTTAATTTGTTTACTGTCAGTCTATGCGGGATGCGCCCGTATCCTGGCAGCCTGTTTATTCACTCTAAATGGTTTACTTATCGGACCAGCCCTCGTTGCCCTTAGAGCCAGTATATCTGATCTAACAGAAGACTACGAAAGCATCGTAACTGCATGGGTTATCGGAGTTGGAAGCTCAAGTTACGTTATTGCTCCCAATTTTATTGCTGAACTAGCAAATACTGTACGTCTTAAGCGCACGGTCTTTGTCACTTTTGAATTTCGAATGTTACAGAATGCCCTCTTAGACTGGCCACATGTGTTTTTGGTATTTATTATTGTTGTTGCTTGTCTGACGGCATGTTCAGTGCTAAAGTGTTCCCAAGAAAGAGCTGATTGGACTCAAACTTAGTTTACAATTAATAAATAAAATACAATAAAGATTTTTTTACCGCCTTGGAGATACATTTTTGGTAATTGGGATCTTCAATTTCATTGGTTTTTTTTTAATAATCCGCGTGTAGGTATATTGACCCATATTTGTTGTTTCAAATACTTATAAAGTGACTATCTGCACAGATTTATTTATTTTATTTTTTATTTTTGCCTTTATTTATGAGTGGGCGGGGTTTCAGCTAAGGCAGAATTATCTGGATCCAGTAGACATAGGTACCTACTGCCATTTTGCCGTATTGAAGACAGTTTGGTTCAACTGATCATTCGCAGAATAGTTGTATATTATAAAAGGAATGCAAAGATTACTGTTTGCATTAAATAACACAAAAATAAACTTAACTGCACGACGCTTTCTCATTGACCGCGTAAAGTACCTAACAAACGTAAATTAATAAGCACCACAATTTAATTGCATGCTCCGGGCCAGGGCATCGATTCCCGAAGTTAGTCGATATGCTCCGTGATGTGCATGTGATGTGACCGGCTGCCATGACGTCATGATCGTATACGATAGGGATAAGTTCAAGTTTAGCTGCATTCCCGAATCGTGGACAAACTTTATGCGCTAACCAATCACAGACAAGAATTGAACTGTCATTTGTCAGTTTTGTATTTTGTTTTGTTTTTGCATTATGGATACTGCTATTAATAACCAGAAAATCCTCGAACAATTCCATGTTTTATTTCACAGAAAATATGTGAATTTATAGGTTAGGGCACTGAATAACCTCTATAGCAAAACAGCTGCAAGATCCGTCCTGTAGCTGCAACTGCGCATGACTTTCACGCAACGAGTGGTCTAGACCAGTCGTTGCGTTCGATCAACTTTTCGCTCGATGTGGTAGATTCGAGAATGCAGTGGCATTGACGTTCACATCAAGGTCAGTCGATGTGAACAAAACACATCTTCGGGAATCGACGCCCTTGTAAGTATATCGCGTAGGCCTCGTAGGTAACAGATAGGGAACACTGTAATAGTGGGTAGGTACTTTGTAATTATACCTACTGTAGCGTTTATATCAAGGCAGTGACTAAGAAACGGCGAAGCAAAGAAGAGATGCGGAGTCTCCTGAAAGACGCCTAATTTTATGCAACCAAAATAACTTCTTGAAACAAAAATAAAGATCTGGCTGTCGTATTAATTATTAATTTGAATATTGTGCTTTAGCCATTGAATAATAAAATGATTATTAAATGCTTTAGCTTCACAGAAAATAAATCTCTTAAGCTCCTTTAACTGTTACCCACACTATATACCTACCAATTGGAAGTATCAACTTTTTCTTACATCCCACTGCCCACACGAACTAAAATTATAATACGGAAGTCAAAGCGATAATATTCAAATTAATTAATATGGCAGGCAGGTCCTCATTTTTTTTTGTTGCATAAAATTAGGGGCTCTCAGGAGACTTTATCATGTAAAAGTAGACATAGGAAATTCCTATGTCTACTTCTACATAAACATCACTGTATATGTATAAGAGAAGTATATATGCATGCGGCCCATCCATTGAGTTAGAAAACTAATGGAGGGAATCAAATGCTTGGCAAGACCACAGAGTTGTATATAAGTAAATAGAGAGGCAGTACATACGACCTGCGCGTGGAAAAATAACTCCAACTACAGTGGCCGACTTTTAATGGCGGAGCCGTTGGGACTCATGCGCAGTGCGTGAAAGGGAATCAGCACGATTTTTGGGTGCATTCAGTTACATAATCACAAAACAAAACAGCAATAACTTTTCAGATGCTTCAGATTCATTTGTAAATAAACAAACGCTTTGGAGCAATAATTTAAGCATGCCCATTACATTATACTCTTTACCGCCATTTCAATGTTTAGTAGGTGACGATCTGTACATAAATAAAGGATATTTTAAAATGCTCCTAGAAAAGTGCAAGAAAAGATCAAATATATGGGTGGAAGGAAAACTCTTCGCAAGCAATTGTTGAAACTTGGTTTTCGATACAAGAAGTGTCGGGACAAACGTAGGTTGGTAATGGAAAGAAGTGACATTGTAGTATGGCATCTCGTTATTTAAGAAGATTAAAAGAAAATGAACAACCTGAATGTGACAAGAAACCCGTTATATACTTGGACGAAACCTATATTCACTCATCGTACGGAGTGAGTAAATGCTAACAATCAGATGAAGTATCGGAAGTTTATAATAGGGCTGGTCAGAGGACATCGTAGTATGCTTGTAGTCGTTCTGGTTTTGTAGAGGATGTCGCACAGTAAATCGGGGGATTATTACGATGATATGAATCATATCAACTTTATGCAGTGGTTAGAGAAGCAGCTTATACCAAATTTACCAGCAAACTCACGCACCTCGTCAGTGTTCAAATAAATAAGCCACCAACAATGAATAATCGTAAGGAAGTGATACGTTCTTAGTTAGAAGCAAATAACATTCCTACGAGAAATGAATTTATTGACAATCTACAATTTATTGTGAACACCGGCAGTTCCGATGATGATTAGTGGTCAAGTGACGATAATGAATGAAAAAAGTTAAAGGTTGTGTGTTAATTTAGTCGCGAGTGTTATAATATTAATTTCAATGTGATTGTTTCAATAACTGTCCATATTTATTTACACAGCAGAAGTGCATCAGAATTGTAAATTGTGTTGAACATGAACATCTAACAATCTTAAATGTGTTTACGTTTTGTAGAAATAAAATTATTAATTTTACTGTTTCCCCTTGAAGTAATGCAACTCATATCGCGTGCCCACTTATTTATATTTAGTAGAGTCAAATTTTGCATGAGAATGTACAGTCTAAATTTCCAACGTCCTCGGACACGCCCTGTCAGGGACCTTCTGAGTGTGGTGCCACTGTACATACCCTCTGCCGATGCTCCATTTTTGAGATATTTGAGTTATTGGCATTTGCAGTTTGTCGACTTTGTGGCTACCTGTATTCAAACTGTGTTTTCGGCATTGCACACCTGAAATTTTGTCCCGCACCAAAATAAAATTTCAACTTATTTTATTCTTTCATTGCTTATTTTTATACTCACTGAGTGCATAAATAGATCTTTAAACTCGGTCGCACGACAAATATACGATTTCCTTTATACCAGAATCTCAAAAAATCTTTTCTCGATTCTGATGTTGTATGTTGTAAGCCCCTTACCAGCTTTGTATTGTAGTCTACTGTATTAAAAGTTCTTAACGATTGTAATGTTTCTTATTTATTCAAGACACAGTGTTAACAACATCATTCACCACACACTGAATTTCTTTTCAATTTTTGTTGCAATGAGAAACCATATTATTCTCAAGCCGAACCTGCTTTAAGGATCATTTAATTTGAAGCCGGTTCTGTTGTCGATTACTGCGCACACTCACCAACGGCCTGCGCAAGGTTCAATTGGAGTCAATTTTTCGCTACAAGACTGTCTCTCTATTTACTTATATCATATATATACTTCTCTTATATATATGACTTATATACAACTCTGTGGGCCAGACGTAGACCACGGGAACCAAAAGTGGCCTCTAACTGTGATTAAAGTACCACACCACTTCCGTTATCATTAGCGTCTCACTTCAGTGGCGTAGAGATATAATTTTCTTTCCACTAATAGGAATAATAACATAAAAAAACGTATAGGAGTAAAATACATGCTCGTGGTAAAGTAAACAAAATAGACAAGGATGGGAAAGTATGCAGATTTAATTTAATCATTGATTACAAATCTAAATATACATCGATGTGTTCCAGTAGTATAATTAAGGCCAGTTTACTATAACCACTACAACTTGACAACTCCCATTAAATTCACTGTGTTGATCAATAGCTACAATTGATTGGTTGGTCTCAGGTTCATTACAAGTTTTGATAGTACCTACCTACTGCATATTTGACGAGATATTTGATGAAAATTTTCCGGTGCAACCTTTGGTCGAAATCACAGTCAATGAAGCGTGTGAGCACAAAAGTAAATTTCGAGAGCTGTTCTTGAGATATATTTACAAATGTTAGGTAACCATTTTGCTCGAAGTACCGGTTCGTTTGGAAAACTAAGAATCATAAACTAGGTACCTACAACATGATAAATGACGATGTCTTACCGATGAAAGGAAATGCCATGTTTCTTCCCTTTATGAGAAATTTTGCATGATACGCAGCTAATCATTCTCAATTCACAAAATTGCCTGTGATAAAAACACTATGCGGCAGTTAGTTATTTATATAAACCAGAGCACAACACCGATCCGAAATTATTAGGTACTTTAAAATGGCAAATTTAATAAAATTTGAATTTGGTGGAAAACTGAGAGTGACAGGACCCGCGTTTTCATATGTCAAATAATGTCGGCCAAAATGTACCTTTACGGGAACCTATCCACGCGAGTGGCCTCTATCTGTGGCAACTTCCGTCTACAAAAATTCTTACCCCCTCCACCATTATATTCACTCCATTAGTTTTCTAACTCAATGGGCCCATCACACACGATTCCCCGCCGTAAACCTTACACTTCAACGTTGCCATTTTAGATAGTGTATGGTTGGTTGCAGTGGCGGTACGCTTCCGATTATCATTACTTTACTCTCCTGATTGAACCAATAGCTAAATGTTGTGAAGTGGGGATATTTGTTCAATAGCAGTCTGAAAATGTACATCGAAATGTGATATTTAAAAGAAATTTTCTAACCTGATCCCTTTTTTGACCCCCTATGTATATCCACCTGGGGCATGGGAGGCAAAATTGTCACCCAGTGTTCTTCCACTTCATCTAATACAACTTATAATCTACAATATAAAAGAAAACGAAAAAAAACGAAAACAAGAAAGAAACTGCTAGGAAAAATCTAAACTGAACGCTTTATTAAATCCTGCACATACACAAAATAAGCATGAAAATTAGGCAGTGGCGCTAAGATGTTTGTGTACGCATTCCTCCTTATTAATAAGATGCGTGGTCTTGTTAACCAACTGCATTAGGGACGAAAGATCGTGCGCCCAGTCGTTCAAGATATCGCTTGGATCTTTGGACTGCTGGAAGTGAACTACTTCGGAGGGACGATCGGTCTTCGCGTGCACCGTCTTATTCACAACCATCTGCGATAGAAATTCCTCAGTTTCGCCCGTCGACAAGTCGAGTAACTCGGCCATGCGAGCCAATCTAATCCTGGTGTAGTACTTCGCCATCACACGAATGTTGTGTTCGACCACTCGACTTCTACAAAAACACAAAAGGTTAAAAAATTATAATCAAAATTTGGAGTATTCGTTGATGAAAAAATCATATTATTGTGCAATTGGAATTTTTAGATATCGACTACCACTAGGTGGCGTGACTATGACAGTGTCTGACTTGGGCAACTTTCCCATAACCTAAACAAAGTTCAACTGTTGCTCTACCACCTTGTCTACCACTCAACCTAGAATTCTTGAATTCTTCAAGCTACTCGTGTCCATTAATTTTTCAAAACAAATTCAATAAAACTTTGTACTTCATTCTAAGCAACCTGCGACAGGGCCCCAGTGCTAGTAAATAAATGTTGTTTTTATTTTATTTTATTTTACCTTTATTTTTGAGTGGGCGGGGTTTCAGCCAAGGCTGTTCTACCAACCCAACCCACTACACATTTACAAATATCCATGCCTGAACCCGGGACCCTTAGCACCACCGTCCAGCTTCAACTGAACTGTGCCATACAGGCAAGCTTAATTAATTAATCAAAGTATTTGAGAGAGAGGCAAAGATCCCAACCCTTCTTCAATTAAACAACATTTTCTGAATTTTTCTATGAATTTTTAAAGTTATGGATGTGAATGAAATTAGGTACTCACCGCAAGTCCTTCCATCTCTGTTTGGACTGCTCATTGCCACTAAACACTGGGGTGCTCTTCAAAGTGTTTTCGTAAATTTCGCAGAAACCGGACCACTTGATCAATTCGGGCGTGGTAAAAAGCTTTAATAATTTTTTGAAGAGGGGAATTTCCTCCAAAGACTTATCTTCGAGAACACGATGTGTCAGATCCGACTGTAATTTTACACAAGATACAAAAAGGCGAAGTTGGCATAGTACTAACCTGTTCGTTATTGTGAGGGGCAAGCACGAGGTAGAGAACGACAGCTTGCGCTACAGCTTGCCGTTCGGTCGCATTCTCCTTGATTGAAGATGTGTTAAGGACCGCCCTGTAGTGCTTGCAGGTCGCCAGGTAAGAGCCCTCGTGTTGATCAAGCTCCATCATAAGCCGATAGTATTTCAGCTTGAGATCCTAAAAACCGCAATGAAAACCGCAAAATGTCGAATAATCTACAGACCTGGGTGCCTTCGTCTTCAAAAAACTTGGTATTAATTTTTTTGGCGATGATTTGGGTACGGATGTAATCCTGTTTGGCAAGGCAGAGTCTCATTTGTTCTAATATCAGTTCAACCTTCTCGCGTTTTTCCATCGATCCGTACGTTTCCACCTGCAACTCTTGAATAATGTTCGCCGCTTCTGTTATGTTATCCTCTGTCTCGCGGATTTGTGCCAACTTATGGGTTAGACGTGCCCGTTCGACTTCTACATAAATCTTGCCCTCGGTGACTTGCCTGGAAATTAGAACGTTAGTAACACGAAGTCTACCCTCCGGATTACCGTAGAGTGTCAATCAATTGAATTTTTGTTTCTTTGTCGGGGGTTTGATCGACGTAGGAGCAACATTCTTGCACCATCTTCGCGACCGCCTGCTTCAATTGGGAGCGACGTTTCGATAGCAGTACTATGTGCTCGTTAAGTGCGACCCAATTTTTCGCCTCAAAACAAATTTGAACTATCGCCACCAAAACGCGGCCAGTCGAGACCATGTCCGCAACGGTTCGAGTTTGTTTCTCTAACGCTAAAAGTCCATCAAGTGCATCGTGCAATTTACCCATTGAGGCCATCTTTGTGTACTCCGGTATCTTCTCATCGCAGGTAGAACTGTAATCTACCTCCATTTTTATGATCTTACCAGTATCAAGGGAGTTCATTTTGCTAAAATGGAATTGAATGATAGTTTCCAAACATTTCCTATAGACGACTTACCTGGTTTTGTTAGACAAAAACCCAACTAGGTTTATTCAACAAAAGAGGCCTTTAAATAATTAATACTGCAAGAAAAACGTACAAACTCAGAAAGAAAATATCATTCGGCCTTTAAAAGTTTCAATTTTGGCAGAAGACGACTGACATGACATTACAAAAATTTAAAAGTTAGGTTAGAATTAGTTTACAATAATCAGTGGCGTACCTACACATGTTATGAACCGGGGTGTACACGATTTTAGTTGTGTGTTTGAAAGTTGCATTTCAAAATAAGCTCCCTTCATTTGGGAATGGGACTATTAAAAATTAACTTCAATAAAAAAATACGTTTACATGCGACATCGGGATGCGTTGATTTACTTAATATTTCAACATGTTCAATATTTGTGACGGATTGGTAGTGCACGACGTACGTAAAACTAGAAATGGAAATTTTTTTGGAGCTGGCTACAGCGTGCTGCGTGGCTTACACCGCTGCTTGTTAAGAAACATTCCTATTCCATGATTTACATATTATTATTTATTTCCTTATGACTGCCATAATACCAAAAATGCTTGTTACTATTATCATATGACAAATCACAGGAGAAGTGTATAATAGTGTAAAAGGTACCTTTAATGATACTAGGAATAGTGTTTGAAGAGAAAATGATAGTAATTCGTGTTCTTCTATCTTTACACGATCATTTTTCTTTTTCTATGAACGATATCATTAGATACAATTCTTGCGGTGTCTTAAACTAATAGAGTGGTATATGCGCTTCCAATTATGCGTATACATATAATGCTTGCCTTATCCGGTATTAGTGCAATTAAAACAGGCCTTAGAAAATCGCGCATTAATTATCCGCGCAGATTAAAATTCACTACGCGAGAAACTTTTTTGTTATTGCTAGAATTGTATCACATTGTTGTGTTTTTTTATTAGGCCGCAGTTGGACGGCATTTATTTAGTCTGGAAAGAAGTTTATTTCCCATTTTTATGCAGAGGATCGTTGTTTTAGTTCAATTAATGCTCGGCCGGAGTTAATTAAGAAGCTTAAGTCTGGGAAAATCGAATCCGTAATTAGTGTGTTTTAAATGTAATAAATTTTGTCTTGTTATTGTTAAATTCGTGGAAGTTAGCAGAGTGCACGCGCTTTGCACAAGTGTTGCTTTAGATAAGGAAACTTTTAGTTGTTTAAGAGCGAATTTCATAGGAATTTTGGCGTGTTTAAAACTCGTAAAAGTACCAGTCTAAGTTGATTTACGATCGGTAATAGTTTTATTTATGCAATTATGTTATTGGTCCGCGGAGTCGACCGTTAAGTTTTATCGGCCCCGAAATTCGAATTTTTCTTGGAAAAGCGTCGCAACGAGATTTGACGATACTGGGGTATAAATTGTTTTGAACAGCGAAGAGAAGACGCTTATTGTACCGTTTCGCGAAGCCTACGTTTGTTTTATGTGAAGATTTTTGGAAAGTTTATTGTAGCGGCGTTTGATAAAGTTACGCCAGTTTATTAATCGTTTATTGTTTTGAAAGTCCGGGAACGTGTGGATTACGCCGGCATCGAGGAGTTTTAAGAAGGTCTTTGGGAAGGAGTTTGTTGAAGAGAAACGAGCGATACAAATGCCATTTTAGCAGCAAAAGTTCGTTTGCGTTGTATTTTACATCATCTGGAGTAGGCGGAACGTTTGTTTAACGCCAGCATCGCCGAGGAGCTGTTGGAGTAGCTGTGTCAGCACATACCTTGGGGCTGTGTTTGTGTTTTTGTGTGCGTCGGTTGTTTGCGCATTTGTAAAAAGGATTAGCACCGTGAGTACTGTCATTTTTGTTTTAATTTAATTGTAAGAATCGCCGTCTGAGACGGTTTTGTGTTTCAATTTGTGTAAATTATTTTTTTCAGATTTTGTAAATTTAGCTTTGTAAAATTTTTATTTTTTTTGTTTGTCATTTATTATTTGTGTGTGTCTAAGTAAAGGTCAAGGATTCGAGTTTCTCAAATTTTAAGTTTTCTTTTTTTATCCCGAGTGTGAAACGAGTTTGATAACGTAAAAAGGTTTGGATCATCGGTGGGACTTAAATTTCATTCCAGAAGTCAGTTAACCAGGGTTTATTTTATTTGGAATTTAAGGGAGGTATTAGCCACCGATCTGGCGAGGTTGCTACCCCTTGTCCGGACGAAAAAAAGGGGTAGGCGGACTCATTTTACGGGCCCTGAGATTTATGTTTTAAAGAGTTTTTGTGAGATTGAGCTAACAAGGGTAAGTTGTGTGGGTAGTTTCAGTCTTAGGAAGTTTTCACAACAACATATACCTATCTAATTGTGGCCAAAGGACACAAAAATGTTTTCAGGAGGAATTTTTAAGAAATGGTCTTTTGTTTCCTTTTTTCAGCAGTTTTAGTAAATGGCGGGACTTCAGCAATACGCGAATACTCGCAATACTCACATGTGTATCAGTGTATGGATGCAGCACGTTTAGTTTGCTTTAGTTGGCGAACTTTTTGGTAAAATTTACGTGTCGTCCGGACTGGTTCATTGATGCGAAGAGTTGACATCGTAGAAATGGAGTGATCTGCCTTCTTTTTGTTCAAAAACATGTGAGCAGATATGCAGCTCCGGGAACATGGTTCTTATTCTCTTATGCAAGTGTATGCTCGATTATGTATTGAACAGTACAGTTTTACTTGTACGCTGTCTTCCAAGTCGAGTCGCCGGGTATTTAAGCGGGTGACGATAAATAAAACGGAGGGGATGCGAAACTAAACATTTTAAGTTTTGTGGAAGAGAATCCCATAAGAAACTTAAGGTAAATAGCGGCCAAAGTTAATATCTCTTCATCATAAGCTAAAAGCTTACTATTTTATTATTATTTATTTTATTCCGAATGTCAGTGTGGAAAGCTTGCGCATATTTTGGTTGCATAAAATTAGGCGTTTTTCAAAAGTTTTTGTCATTTAAAAGTAGACATACATATACGAAATCCCTGTCTACTTCTAAATGAATAACACTATTCAAAATGGTAGAGGCGAACTGGTTCTGCAGGCGGAGTCGGTTGTTTCTTTAAGCGCCGTCGAAGCATCAGGAATTTCCTTTGCAGCGTTCAAAGCTCTGCTTTTAAACTTTTGCAGCCAGAGACACTACACTCTCATCGATTGGCCGTTTTGACCAATGAGTGTGCAGGACGATTAAGTTTGCTACCTAATGTGAATGCAGCGCGTCGCCACAGGTACTTTTCTTAAAAATGTGTTAAATATTTATCATTCATTCTTCCTAAACTCTCCCTAACGTGCGCCATTCATGGGCTTAATGGAGAGAGGATCAAAACGGACCGCACTACATAGTCGAAAGAGAAGCGTCAAGAGTCTTTACCAAAGAACAGGTTGAATGGGCCTTGGTGACCTTTTTGCCGCACATACAGAGGCCAGCCTACTTCAGGATCACAAATTTAATTTCTTAGTATCTTCTGTGGTTTCTGAGATCCCAATGATAGACATCCCTATCTTGGATACTGTATATAAAAGAGGGTATATGAAGAGAGGTAATACAAATGTAACAACAAAATAAAGTTTATTCGTCATTCTATGCATAGTTTTTTTGGTATCAGAATACTAATAAAATCAAGTGCTTCACACTGCTACCACAAGTACAATGACTATAATAATAGATAATACTAATAAAAAAAAAACAACTTTATAAAAGACAGCAAAGCAAGGAGACAAAAAGTACGTACAAAAACAAACGCATTCAAATCGCCCTAATATATTTAAAGTTGAAAAATCTAATACTTTAAGTATATGAAAGACATAATAAAATATATTTTTACGCTATCAGTCATTTTGGAAGCTGCACACAAAATGCTTAATACGAAATTTGGGAAAAAATACTATTTGTTACATAAATATGTCTTATAGAATTTTTATGCAAACCAATAAGTTTGAATCTCTTACTTCTTCTTTGACAAAAATAACTTAACAACTCAACAGATATAAATTGAACTGTTCCATATCTCACTTTTTATAAAAATGGAAGGTAAATTAATCTGTCAAGTACGGCGTATTATGAAATAATCAGGAGTGCACACATTAGAGGCAAGGTTGCAACAAATATGCATTAGAAGTGTCAATGTTGCTTCATTATAATTATAAACAGTCTTTGGTACAATGTCAATTAGAATAGTTTCACGCTTTGGAAAGATTATTGTGCAATTGAAAGTACACAGAGGTATATTTGTTTTATAAATTCTTGCACGTCACATTTTGAATTGGGGAACGAGCCTTGTTACCAATATCACAAATATAAAACGACAAACACATCACACGTGCTCCGCTAGGCGTTAAGTTGGCAATGCCGATGACATCACAGGTATCGCGATGTCTTCCATATTCGGAATTACTAGGACTTTCTGAAATTAAAAGTTATCGATGAAATTTGGTCACACTAGTATTTCTGAAAATTGGACGCGGAAAAATTTGATTCTGACAAATTCGTTACCCTTACAGGGGCGGCCATTTGTACGACATGAACAGGGAAAGAATTAGTAACAAAAATTTCAAGTTCAATTGAACATCCTTTGTATAACTAAAAAGTGCATGCTGTTGGTCCCTGATTGCCATGTGAGAAAATAAATTTCTTGATAAAACTTTCAATTGTACCTAATATTTTATTTATAAAGGTTTAAGAAACATGGACTGCTGATTTGACACTTTGGCATATGCCTGGCATAGCCGACTCTCCCAGAATTTAGTCTACTGTCATGGGGATGTGTCCCTGGTAGGAACAGGGGTGTACCTCCACCACTTTTGTTGCAATCGCGCTGGGCCGCGACATATGCCAAACAATTGCTAATTTTCTTATTAGGAGCAACAAAGCTTAGCAAAAAAGAAAGAAAATTACAATTAGCATTTGCCTCCCAATCAGTACATATACTAAACAAATTTAAAATTTCGAATCTTAGCATGTAGCATTTTGATTTTGGTTTAATTTTTGTAAAATTTTTTCCAAAAGAATGTAGAAATTTAACGAACAAACTTCAGTAACACAAAAATCTGCAATACCGCTCATTTCAGTTCCTCACCTGAAATTCCTGGGTTAGCTTCTTCTCAATCCAAGTTGTGAGTTGCTTGATAAAAGAGAAATTTCTTTCACCGACTATAGGGTGTGCCGATAGCCACAACTGCGGTAAAGGTCTAAACCCTATCCAAACTCGATCGCTTGGAGGAGGTGGCATATTTAGAACCAAGGTACCGACAAAACCTTTAAGTTCAACTTTCAAACTTAGATCGGTATTCGATACACCTAAAATAATATACTTTGGCATTAGCATGCGACTACAAAAGCGAAGGGGGTACTGTAACGGACCCAGATGAACACGGTATCGATTTTTATTTATTGCCTTCAAATAATCGCTAATATTTTTTGTTAATCAATTTTGTTTTTATGCAAATAGAAACTTACCCTCCATCGCCTTTTTTATATAACGATTTTCAGTTGCCGCTTGAAAGAATTTCGACTCTGCTATTTTGTCGACCATTTTAAACAGTTTCTTGCTGCTATTACTAGTTCCGCCGCTCCCCGTAGTGTTCGCGTTCGCTTCGGCGACTTTCCCCGCCGACGGCGCGTAACTTTCACCATCCGAGCTACTTTCCGCCGTGTCGTCCACGTCAGAGTACTGCCACTTGGCGAAGGAGGAATCCTCGCAACTCCCACTGGCGGGCAAATGTTTCAGTTTCATTAGATTTAACTTGGTCTGTAACTTCAACACTAGACTTCCATTGTATCGTACGTCCAGGTCTATCCAAAGGCCTCGTTGATCTAAAGTCGGGCTACCCACGCTGTATATTAATGGCGGATTGTTACCTGAAACATCCAAGATAATTGAGGGTTGCTAACTGGGTGCCGCCTTATGGGTCGAGTATACAATAAACTCCCCCCCCCCTTCCGCGTTAGCAGCTCCCAGTAAATTCGCGCCCATTTGACCAATACCTAATGAAAGCTCACTGATGCTCAACTGTTCTATAAAGTATGGCAACTTAATAGAACTCAATTTACGCTGTATCCTCTGCTGGAGTTTGCCCAAAAATGTCGGATCACGGGTACAATCAAACAGAATCCGACTGATCATGCAGTTTATCCACGCAACATTCGAACTAGCCTTGGTATCTGACTTGGAATCATCATACAGCTGTAACCATATATGTTGTATTAAATGTATACAGGGTGTCAATTTTAAAACTTGCAGTCGGCCATATTTTCCAAACTAAAGAAGATATTCAAAATCGCGCAAAACCGTTTCGGGGGTATCGAGGGGGAACCAGAATGACGTTATGAGTGACAAGTCCCCACCCTCCCCTTAACCCTCCAGCCCCCCCTCTTCAAAAATCCTAAATGGCAACCCCATACTTGTGACACATCGTTGGAAAGCTACTGAAAAAAAAGAAAGTAACCTCAATGTCAACATTTAGTTTTTTTGTTAATTGTTAAATTTTGTGTTAAATTATCTTTAATGAATATTGACTATTGGTACCACTGGAAAGCATTTTTCAGTAGCTTTCCAACGATGTGTCACAAGTATAGGGTTGCCATTTAGGGTTTTTGAAGAGGGGGGGGGCTGGGGGATTAAGGGGGTGGGGGGGTTACCACTCATAACGTCAATATGGTTCCCCCTCGATACCCCCGAAATGGTTTTGCGCGATTTTCAACATCTTCTTTACTTTGGAAAAATGGCCGACTGCAAGTTTTAAAATTGACACCCCTATAGTTCAACAGCTTTGTACCTTTTGATATTTATTCATGTAAGTGAGATACTCGCGTTCGTTCCAAACATTAGTGTCCGTCCTTTGGGAATCCCTACAGTCCGAATCTCTATGGGTGGCGGTAACGAATCTACGATACCAGTCTTCCTTCTCTCGATCAGAACGAGCAAATAAATATATATGCGTTTCTGTCGGTGTACCCTGTATGAACATGTTACATGTAATATGTCACAATGAAAGTCATACATTGAAAACCAAAAGTACCCTACTCATCGATATTGGAATAAACAAATGGAAAACCGTGAATTGTTCATATGTAACCTTTGGCACTTACGGCAGTGAGCACAGTATGCAGTGTGTTCCAACTAAATCAGGCACTATTGATAACTTTAGATTAGTTCTTACTTGTGAACGACGACTTTGATTCGTGGCTAATAAAATATTACATTAACAATTCTTGATCGAGCAGCTGAGGTAGACGACGACGAAGGCACAGAGGGAATAGTTCTCCAAGTGTCCGACAAAGTTCAAGGGAGGCGCAGAAGATATGCACGCATTCCTCGACGCAGGCTCCATGTACAGAGTGCTTTTGTATTATGATATTGTTGAATATTCTCCCCATTTTAAAAATATTTGGAATTATACAGGGTGCGTCCACAAAGTAGGGCGCCAAAAGGGTACATTTATTTAAATAGAATCCCCTGTATTTGAATGCATTTTTGAATTCTACGTGTAATTGTATGTCATTTTTTTATATGGTTAATATACGAAAAACTAGTAGCTTTAAATTTGTAAGAAAAATTGGGCATTTGGGCAAAACAAAGCGATGACGAACTCAAACTTTTACATTGATCCCTTTCTTGCACCCCCCCCCAAAGGCAAATCCACGCGGTTCGAAAAAGTATATATTTGAGCTCTTCAAATTGATAGTTGTGACCGAGTAAACTAAAAGTCTCAAAAGCGCAAAAATGCATTTTTACCACCGCTTGTGGCAGCTACCCATTCCTATAGGGGCGCAATGTACATACCTACTGGAACGAATTTTTTTCTGAAACGTTGCGCGAGCGGTGCTTCAACCGGGAGGGGGGGGGGGGGGAGAGTTTAATATGAACTATCGCAGTCGAAATCGTTTGCGAAATTTTAGTCTCGCGACCTCAAACGCGAAGGAAATAGATTCTCGATTTTCGAACTTCGCGCGGGGGTTGAAAATTTCACCCCTCTAGACGAGAGGACCTGTTCACCATTTCAAGATGCGGGATCGATGTTCCGCCAAACCAGAAACACCTCAAAAACATTGCCGTTAAGTGTTCGAACAATTCGCAAACGTCTCCCACATCTCTTCGTTCCCCCCACGTCCCTCGCGTCGCTCAGTAGGCAAACTGCAACCCGGCCCTTCAAAAGCGCCGTCGAACTATGAAACCAACACACAAAACAGCAACTTGATATGCCCCTTCCCCGTTCGCCCACTAATTTTGCCGCCATGCTGCGGGGGGGATGGGCGAAACACACTCGATGTTTGTAGCGTCACGATGCCGTCCGTCCGTTTTGTCATATCCTTTCAAAAGGCGCTTTCCTATTTTTCCTAGGGAAAAATCCGTTTAAACCCCCAAAAAGCGCAATTTCGTCTCAAACAACCCTCTTCGTACGTTCCACGAACCGGGTTAATCGCAAAACACGTACAATTTTTTTTCTCTCTATGAATTTTTAAACTTGAAATTTCAACCTAAAAACGACATCCGGAATGCACTTTGGGCCCTCCCCCTACCGAGCCGCCGGACCGAAAAAAATTCGAAATGTGCGCACCCCTAACGGATACATATTGCGGAAGTACCAACTCCGTAGGCTGAATAACTTCCCCTCTAGCTCCGAAAAACTATGATTTCATCATAATCCTATATAGAATCAACCCCTCGCTATGGGGGATTAATTACAATCCGATTTCCATCGAGTCGGTCTCCATAAATGGAGAACTAATTATGGTAAATTTTTCCCATTGTAAGTAAATATACAGGGTGATTCAAATTCAAGGGCCACGATGGGGATCTCGGGAACCGTAAGAGATAGGTAGGTAGTTTAAATTTGGCGGATTTTGATGCTTAACAAAATGCAGTTTTGAAACTGAAAAAATTCCGAAAAAAACGAAATTTTGCAAAATCGTTTTTATTTTTTATTGAAGTTATTTAAAAAGATATTTCGAATTAAATGACACATTATTATGGTAACTTTTTTCCCTCTACAAGATGCTAGTTTTAAATTCGACGTTTCGACGATTTTTAATGTTATACGCCGAAACTCTACGCTTTAAAATAACAGCAAAATTAATTGCGCGTTCGATAACCTTCGAGCGTGACGTCATGGTCAGAAACAATCCGCATCGCGCACGTGACTTTTGCAATCCTCCGGGAGAAATTTAGTCATAGCGCGGTCGTCAAACTTACCGCTCGTTCTAACTGTGGAAAGAAAGAAAAAACTGATACCCTGTCGAAAGCTTCACACCCAGCAAAAATACGCTCCTTCATGGGGGTTAAGATCTCAGAAAGTGGGAATAGGATTTGCGGTGCTGTTTGCGAGCTATTAATCCCCCCCCCCTCAGACAAAAATTTAAGAAATTTTGGAAAACCTCTTCTCGAATTTCTTCTGAATTTTTGAGACCACTCTCCACGCTTTCCGTTACAAAATAAGCGCCAAATTAATTAAGGACGCGTTCGGCAAAGTTCGTGGTGACGTCATTACAAAACATTTCGAATCGCTCACGTGACTTTTCGATGCATTGCCATGGTTTTTTTTTTGTAAGTAACTTGCTGTTGGAAGAAACCGTAAAAATAGAAGAAAGTATTATGACTTAGTGAAGGGAAGAGTACTTTTGGTTGTCAATGTAAAACAACATACGTCCGAAACAAACGTGGTCCAATCCAAGTTAAACGACTCGTCATCCTGTTCATCATCAGCCGTACATATTTCCTTAAAATCGTCTTCATCGTCCGCCTCACCATTTTCATCACCCTCCTCCGTAGTTTTAGACTGAAAACCAAACTTTCAAATACAAAAACAATAACCCCCCGAACAACATACGGCAGGATCTAGAGATTCCACCTGCGCACTTTCGCACTCTTCCAAATTCATCTCCTCTTCCGTTAATTTACTAAAGATCTGCGTCTGAAATTGCGAGGTTCAAAGATCGGTGCCGGTAAAATTGCCTACCTGCGTGATGCTTTCTTTTTTGGGCGCCTTCGATTTTTTATCGGACATCTCGCTCTTCGTTTTACTTTTTTGTCCCTCGTCTAAGTCGGACGCATCGCTCGAATTCAAATGTAAATTTTCCTTGTTAATCGTTATACAAATCGGATACTTCTTGCTCCAATGTCTACAAAAAATTAATTAATGAACAGACACACGCGACTGCCGGCATGTACCTTCTTCTATTGAGAGCTACCGGCAATAGGCTCACGTGAGCTCCCAACAAATTGTATATTCTATGGCCGGAAAACACGATGTGTTTGTGCTTAGGCTCGTTCCACAGCGCCCGCTTCGACACCTTCGCCTTGGTATGGCTGATCCTTAGCAACGTACCCTGTAGTCGTATGTAAACCGATTGCGTTTGAGAAATGTGATAGGTTTGAGGATCGTAGACGTCTGGATACTCGTTCATCCACCCCTGTCCAAATAAAACTAGGTTCAATGGATTGGTGGCAGTGATCGGTAATTACTGCCAACATTAGAGCTGGGCAAAAAAAAAGATCATATCTGCTTTAGCGCTGTTGTGATAAGCCCGATATCGTATTTAGAACTGTGATGTGTAAGCGGGTATTATATACGAAGTTGGAATGTACAGGGTGTCTCCAATTCGAAAATGTTCCTTCGAGTAATTTTATCATTGGTAAATGAACGGCCTTGCTATAAATTAAGCTAACTTCCAATTTTAACGGAAAATTAAGTCTTCAAATGGGACATCCTGTACAGATTTCGCCAAATAAGCGTTTTAATTCACGGTAGCTTTATAGATGGGATGGGAGTCGTATTAGTAGTTTGAAAATAGGTCGCCTATAACCTACCTTCGGATAACTAGAGGAAGGTCCGCGAAGGTTAAGGTTTCCGGTGTGCGCCAGTAATAAAAAAACGATATTTTCGGTACAGTATCGATATAGAAAAAGCAAGGGATTGCAATGCTAGCTAGTTTTCTCTAAACATCAACATAACCTGAGACTTAAAACTCATTGGTGTTTAAAGATGAAAGGATAAATATAAAATAATACAATACCTCCACTTTGGTAATCTGATGATATTCTTTCACAGCCGGAATTTCAAATATAGCCTGTTCGGGCGAATCAGCGGTAACAAACGTTTCGCAGAGGCTCGTCTTCTCTGCCGCCAACTCGAAATATTTACTATACACTTTATTGTAAACTATCACGACAAATATCCCCGACGAAAATCCATAGACATAGAAGGGTATTATGGAAAAAATGTGACAAAGCAAACACAGCACCACTGCTAGTAAATACCTAAAACTGACCATACACGTAGAAAAGATTAAGCCAAATGTATACTCACTTATATGCTCTATTAGCTAGGGATGTATTGGACTCGGTAACTCTTAGATCCACGAAACCTTGCGGCTCGAAGTAAGTGCGACTGGAATTTTCCTTAAGCTGAGTGTGTTTAATGGTTGAGCCGGCTACAGGTAAAACTTTTACTTTATTCCCCTCTTGCACCTCGATGTTTTCGATGTGATCCGCAATCCGAAGCAGAACACCTTCGCGATCCTCACTGAAATGTAAACTCTCCTCGGCCACGGCGTCGTTAGCTGCCTGAGGCTGGGCATCTTCAAGCGCCTCGACGCCACTCTCGACGTCCAAACTATCGTGCGACATCGCGTCGTGCATCGACAGGTTCGGTTTCGAGCCAGTTGTAATCTCGTACAGTTCGGCGAGATTCGCGATGTTGACGTTATCATCTTTACGCGATCGCTTGCTTCGCGATGTCTTGTACCTGTAATGTTTTGTACTGTTACGAGCGATGTCGCTCGGCCTTTTGTCCTTTTCTAGCGATGGCGTTTCGTCGTCCGTCGACATTTCGACACCTAACGGCGACGCGTTACGTAAAATTGATAAAGCAGCGCTACCTACCTTCGGTTGTCGAAACGCCGCAAGTACGTGACAAGCTGCTCTCTGATAATTCATCTGAATCGGATAGACTAGAGTGGTCTTTGGTATCTTTTGCTTTCCTAATTAAACTGTCAGCTTCTTGGTTTCTTTGCTTTATTTCCTCTACGCTCTTTGTAATTTTACCCTAAAGAAAAAACACCATATGTCAAAATACAACTAAAGGTTTTTACAATATGCTGCTTTTATTAGTCGTTGCAATCTAACAAGGAAGTATTGTACCGCTTCATGAGGAAAGAGAACGCAAGTAATATGCGAGAAAATAAAGCGCGTTAAGATAAGAAATGAGTGTTCAAGGAGATAAGAGTCGAAACGTTACAGTGTTGCCGGTGCTAAAAACGGTGGCTACGGAGCACGAGTGGGGCAATCGCTGCTATATGTACCATGTAGAAAAAACGCATCCGAAATCGGGTTCTGTGGGGGGCCGTTTCGGTTTTCCAAATCGGCGAATAAACTATAAAAAATTTGGTGGGAGAGCGGCATTCATAGCTAGATCTTCGAGGTAAAACTACGTACACGAAAATTTACAGATCCTTGTGTGAGACGTCATTTTTGAGATCGCGTGAAATTTCATTCCAATTAAAAGTGCGAACCGAAAGCCGTACAACAGCAGTATATAAAATACACGTTGGGGGGTAAAAATCGGGGGAAAACCTAGAGAAAAGCTCGGCAGCATTGGTCCTGGCCACCGCTCAAATAAAAACCTTCTTCAGCGCTTCGCGATAGCTGACTAGCCGTCTCCTCGTATTGGTGCCTCCTGGTAACAATCTCAACACTCCCTACGGAACTTTCGGATTGCCGAATGACAGTAAGGCGAACCAACTGGTGCCGACAACTGGACGGCCCAGGGAGAGATTGGTCGTTAGTCAGTGAACTCTGAGTACCAGAGGCCTCCCAGTTTCAAGTAGCCATCTGGTGATAGGGGCAAGGTGCCAGTGATTGTTTAAAAGCCCAATACTCGTGGGACCTTTATATCCGATTTAAATACAAAAACCACTCAAGCTATAAGGGAGTAGTCGCTACCTCCAATCTCCACTGATCCAGGCTTGTCAGACAATGAGAGGACCTTATTGGCCTCTGACGAAGAGACTAGCCTACATAGTGTTACCATGCCTCTCTCCAAAGCAACACCTGAGAACGGTAACAAAGCCTCAGCGGTCTCGGGGGAGACAAGTGAACTAAATAAAGCTGTGGAGGGCACCCCATAAGCAAAGCTAATAGCCGCTGGGCATACCCCAAACGAGGCAGCAAAGTTCAGAAGACCCAAGGAAAGTCAGCAAGTGCAAGGCGAGAAGAGCAGGAAAATGGGCATGGCAATTCTGTCCTCAAATGGGACCGGAAAAACCCCGTCCCATCCCCTCAGCTTCTCAAGGCAAGGCGGAGACATTTCCATCCCTCCAACGAAAAGCTTCCGGGGCGCCCTGCAGAGCATCTTCTTGACAGAGACCTTAATTTGGATACCATCCCTGATCGTCGATCCGGTGGTTGAAAAACTACGTCGCAACCGCCAAACCGTGGGAGGGAGCTCAACTTCAACTTCGAGAGAAAAAGGAACTCCCAAACCTTCACGTGTTCATGGTTTCAGGGAGACGGAAGAGTCGACCGACCACATTTTAAAATGGTTGCACGACCAAAATGAAGGAAATAACGTGAAGGCTTGGAAAGAAATCCATCGCAACAAGGTCGACGACACCACTGCAGTGATAGATAAAAACAATCAGAAAGAGAGGAAACGTCTATATCTTCCGCTGGACTAATACAATCCAAGAAACTGATTAATTTGAAGGAACAACACTTGTTTTTCGACAAAGTCGCAGGTACTTTAAGCTTTATTGATTTACTCTCAAAACCAATCATAAGAAGCGTTTTTTATGCAAGGCAACTTCATCATATAGTGAAAACTAATGGACGGCGAATTTATGTTCAATTGAAAGTACAGTGCGAATATGTTACTTTCTTAATACGTACGTGAATATTTGCGGGGCATTGGACGATCGGATTACATTTCGCATCGCATTTGAATAAATTGTTACCACGAAAGCGGTAGGGTCCAAGGTGTGACACAGTTCATTGCGTTATATTCGGAGTGGCACTAATTTCTTTGCGACCATCTTGGTAAAACTGTCAAACAAACATTTGACATTTGGAACGCTATACATGCTTAAACAACGCGTAGAAATTGTTATTTATTATCAAAATCAATGCTCTATTCGCCTAAGTTCTGCGCGTTTCGCCCAATTTATGGCGTTCATGGACGTCCTGCAGAGTCCACAATCTGAAACAACCAGGTCGGCGATCGATGAAGCAGTTCCTATACGCAAGATCCGGAGAATATTGGTGCCGTTTGGGACAGTGCGGGAGAAAACCCCAGACAGTCCATTCCGGTCGTGCGAAAAAACTGGGTCTTTCTGCGACGTGAACTTGGCGGATTTTGCGCCTCTACTTAGATTTTCATCCATACAGGGTGTTTTCTTGGGAGCTTTGCGCTTCTGGGAAAGTAAAATAGGTAGGTTTTTGAACATGTGTACTTAGGAGTTACTCTGAAGGCCGAATCTATGTAAAATGTTTTCAAAATGGTCGCACTTCCGAAAACACCGGAAGTAGATAGTAGCATCGTTATTTTAAATGGCAAACCCTATTTTTTTATTGCATTTTTGGATTCTACGTGAAATTTCAGTTCTTTTGATATCCATTTGTCGATATCTACCATTTATGGTTTTTAAGTTATTTTGACTTTAAGGAAACAAGTTGTAAATCAGCATATGCATGATTAAAGCGCATTTTTGGTAATACAGGTCAGTATTTTATTAGCGAAGTTTAAAATTATTGATCTCACGAGTAATTTTGGCTGCGTTAAATAATTAATTTTATTTAATTTCAATTGACGGTACGTCTTCATTTTGTAAAACAAATCGCAAAGTAAATAATAAGTTTTTTAAAGTCACTAAATATAGAAAGTACCGCAATCCATTAGGCTCGTGCGTTAGAGAGAGAACGCATGATTTTTGCCCAAAAATGGCGGAAATTACCAGATTCTAGTAACTTTAATGTTAGGGATTGTTCCACCTGTTTGGAGATATCTGTATATATTTTTATAAAACATGACAGTACTATGACGTTAGGTTATAAAAAATGACAGCTATTCAGATTTTATTTGTCAATTTTTTTAAGTTGGCAGCAAATTTGCCCAAAAATGGCGGATGATTGCGGTACTTTCTATATCTAGTGACTTTAAAGTTTTTATACTGGTAGCGCTATCTAACGGTAAAATTATAGTACCTCCGAAACCCATATCGAAATTATTTTCTTCAATTATCGATCTCACAAGTAATCTAACTCAAAATAGACTAATGCCTGCACATCTACACTATAGCAGAAAGCTTTTAGTGAAAATTTGAAATCTCTAGCTATTGTAGTTGTGGAGATCTAACGCGGACAGCCGGCCTGCCAGCAATGACGAATATAATAGCGTATTTTTTTCAAAAATGCGCTAAAAATGGAGGATGCAGATGGTACCTTGATAATTGATTACTTAAAAACGGTTATAGTCATGGCAACTTATTTTTATCAGTGAATAGAGAATGAATAGGGCTTTCTTTTAGTGCACTTAAAAAAAGTTAAGGTACGACCGCCCCTATGGAGATCCAAATTTATGAAACTTCAAAGACTAAAAACTCAGTTTTTTTAATGGAATGACCATATTCTTACTATTGCATGAGATAAAGAATCGAAATGGACATATTTTGACAAAACATGTTCCTATAGCTATCTTTAACAGTTTCTGACTTATTACCATTTTATTGAACCGACACTATTTTTTCGGATTTTCTTTTTAGTAGTCGACCATGATTTTATAACAATCGAATTTGAAACAAATCTAGTGACACCAATCCGTCACCTACTGTTATAGGTTAACATAAGTTTTTCAAAAATCGAAAAATGACTCGCAGTGGTTTGACCTACATATTTTGGAATTTAATTGTTATTTATGGTGAAATGGACAGAATCGCGGCATTTGGGGAGTACAACATTTCCAAAATTCATACAGTTTCGTTCCAGTGTTCGAATGAATGTACGGCAAGTACATTCATTCGAACACTGGAACGAAACTGTATGAATTTTGGAAATGTTGTACCCCCCAAATGCACTACAAACTGTTGAAGCACAAGTGATACAAAGCTCTACAAGAGAATATTTAAGAAAATGAATTGAATTGCAAATGCAAGATTAACAAAATAAATTCAAGGAAAAATATAAAAAACTTCGTTGAAACATTTTTGGTATGGAATTGTTGCTAGAACAGATATCGCATTACCTCTCTTAATTTCCAGACTTATAAGTTGTTTAAGAAATTAAGTTGAACGACTGTCTAGATTTTTCACAAATTTTCCGTCCTATATCCTTAATAAATGACTTATTTATTAATGAATTATTTAGACTAGAATCAATGATATTAAAGAATCCTTTCCTTGATTAAATTTGTTTAAAATTCGATTGTTATATAATCATGGCCAACTACTAAAAAGAAAATGCGAAAAAAAATGGCATCAACTCAATGAAATAGGAATAAATCAGAAACTGTTAAAGATATAGCTATAGGAACATGTAATATCAAAATATGCCAATTTCGATTCTCTATCTCATGCAATAGTAAGAACATGGTCATTCCATTTAAAAAAACTGAGTTTATAGGCTTTGAAGTTTCTTAAATTTGGATCTCCATAGGTGCGGTTGTACGCAACTTAACTTTTTTTAAGTACACTAAAAGAAAGTCCTATTCATTCTCTATGCACTGATAAAAATGGGTTGCCGTGACTATAACCGTTTTCAAGTGATCAATTATCAAGGTACCATCTGCATCCGCCATTTTTTTTTCATAGTCAAAATAACTTAAAAACCATAAATGGCAGATATCGACATGTGGGTATCAAAAGAACTGAAATTTCACGTACAATCCAAAAATGCAATAAAAAAAATAGGGGTTGTCATCTAAAATAGCGAAGTTACTATCTACTTCCAGTGAAAAAAATCATCTTCAGTGATGAGGCACATTTCTGGTTAAGCGGAAATCCACGGGAGATTCATCAGGTGCTTCTACACTCCGAAAAAATCACTGTTTGGTGGGGACAAGAAGCAGCGCTCACTATCAAAGGCGACCGATATCGGACGATAATGGCCAATTTTTTGTGGCCTAGGATAGATGGAATGTATCTCTCAAGCATGTGCTTCGAAAGGGACGGCACCACTTGCCATAAAGCACAAAGCAATTTATTGAATGAGAAGTTCCAGGCTTCAACACCTCCTGTGTTGGCCATCGATATCGTGTGACTTATCACCTCTCGATTACTTTCTGTGAGGTTACGTTAAATCCCTAGTCTATGCAGACAAACCACAGTTAATTGCTACCCTAAAAGCCAACATAACTCGCGTTCGTCGTAAAATCGAGCCCCATTTATGCGAAGATGTCGTCCAAAATTGGTCCACCAGAATACAACATCTACAGCGGAGTCGCGGCGGCCATTTACCATACATAATGTCATCGAATATCCTTTAAAATGTTATAAAAATTTTGGTAATATCACTTGAACAGGTGGTTTTATTTCATTTCAAAGTTCGAGTGCTTTTAATGAAAAACCCTTTAACAGGTGTTAATAACATTATAAATAAAACGGCAACCGGTAAAAAGGTTAAAGACAATTAATCTGTACCTTTGTTGACCGTCAAAACCGTAAGTTATAAGGGTAATTTTGGACACTTCCATACTGCGGAACATTCCAGTAAATAAACCAAAATAGAATTAATAAATTGTGAGGAACCTGAATCATAGGTTTGTTCTGGATTCAAATTTATCAACCATCTTTCGAGATTCACTTTCAACGAGTATTTTAAATTTTGAATTTTTTATATTGTATAAAATAGGAATCGGCCACTTTTGGGGATTTTACCTGAGAAATTTGCCCTTACTAACGTTCCTGAAACTAAAAATACATACTTTCGTTTGCACCCCATATGTTTAGAACTGCCAGTGGTTATAATTATACTTGCTCGATTGCTACCTTTGGATGTTATCTTGTCTATTATTTTGTCAGCCACTTTTTAGCGCATTTGCACAAAAATAAAAAAAAAATGCGCTATTGTGGCCACTTTGTCCGTCCGTTCGGCTGTCCGTCGGTCCGTCCGCTCGTTTTGCGACGCTACTAGTTCTTTATCTTAAGAGCTATTGTTCTACTTTTTTCGCTATTTGGTTCGTTATGGTGTCGAGGCTTGCACCAAGGAAGGAATTTTTTCTGCGTTTATTGCTAAAAAAAGTTATTGTAAAAAAACCAACAAACCGTTTTTTACATGTTCCATAATTTTACACTTTTGCCGTTTATTAACCATCCTAGAGATCATTTATAATTTTGTATTGTTGTCTGTCGTCTGTCTGTTGGTCTGTCCGTCTGTTCCTGTGCCTGTCTATCCCTCTATCTGTCCGTGTGAACGATAATTTTGTTTAGAAATGTCCGATCGCTTTTACATCTCCGTTAGTTATGAACTGAATTGCATGAAATTCAATATGGGGCATGGGCAGAGCCTTAGCCATATAATACGCAATGCCAAAAGTTGAGTCGAATCGATTCAAAATTCACAGTGCCCTTTTCGCATCTCGACCATTTATAAACCAAATTGCAAACTTTTTTTCTTATAAAAGTATTTGAATGAAATTTGATACATAGGCACTTGAAATAAAGGAAAATCAAACGCCAATTTCAAAATTTGGTTTTGCGCATGCGCAGTGCCAACTTTTTTATTTATGGAAGAATTTAAATGAAATGTGATACATAGGTGCTTAAAATAAAGGAAAATTTAGCGCCAGTTTAAAAATGTTATTTTGCCCATGCGCAGTGCCAACTTTTTTTTATCTATGGAAGCATTTAAGTGAAATTTGATACTTTGGCGCTTGGAACAAAGGAAAATCTAACATTAGTTTCAAAATTTAGGTTTGCACATGCGCAGTTCCAACTTTCTTATTTAGAAAAGCATTGAAATGAAATTCTTCTTATAAACTGAAATTGAAATAGCATGTCAAAAATGGATTGCTCATGTGCAACGCTATCTTTCATATTTGGGGCCGGATTTTTACGATTTTAACAGAAGTTGCATCTTACAAATGGGAAATGAATGCAAGTGGAAATGCGCTTTATGTAAATCGTTTACGATTACTTTTTAACTTGTTTAAACTATCTCATTTCAACAGTGTTAGCTAATGTTACTTTAAGGATGTTGGTTTTGTTTCCAGCATACATATTTCGCACCCTTATTTATAGGGGCGCTATCTTTGAGATTCTTGAGAAACTTGACATTGTTTACATCCGATACAGTGAAGACATAAAGTCCGTGCCCCCCCCCCCCATTAACTTTTGAACCGTTTAGTGTATGACCTAGACATTTGGAACGGTGCTACACAATACCATTCTTTATTTTTTTGAATTGAAACTGGCAGCTTCATCAAAATGGCATAACTTCGAATTTCTTTCATGAAAGGCGTCATGTGACTGTTTATTTTGAAGCTCTTTTAATGACTCAAGAAGGTGTTACTGCTAACTGACTTTTTGTTTGCGTTTACCTTTATTTCTGTAAAAAATTTCCAACGATCCGAAGGCGGCGATGAATCTTGCGCGACGAAAGATGTATCAATACTTGTACATCTTTTTCCTAAGCGAGGTAAATAGCGTAATGGACTAGTGTCGGCATCCGTAGTTCCTGTAAACAATACCATGCAATTATCATTGTCAATTAAACAGTGTACTGTGCTCGGTACTGTGCCTACTAGATCTATTTTAACACATGATTAATTACAGTGATATGGCTTGGTTATAAGCTACATAGTTGGGGGCAGAATACTGTGGTAAATCGTACTGCAATGTTACTGTGGCCAGGTCTCTTCACTCAAAAATGCTTTTGACGTATAAAGCTCAACTTTGGTACACACAGATGCCAGATACTAGCGCTACTTCCGTGTTTAGAGTGGCTCTAAAAGGCACTTTACAAACTGAAAGCAGTTAATTACAAAGTTATGTGGCGAAAGTAATTTACAGTTTTACATTTTCAAAAATGTACAGGTGTCCACGAATCGAGTGGCTCATAAGGTGTAGGTAATTGACAAAGTATTTTAGAGTTGGATCTTCATGTTCTGAGGATTGCTCCTGCTTAGTCTCAAACTAAAACATTAAAAAAATGAGCCAAATCAATTAATATACAGGGTGTTTTTTTGCTGAATTCTAAAAATTACTTAAGATCAAGTAAACTGTCTTTATTTTAGAAGATTTTTATAGAAGAATTTTGATACAAATCAGCCTGCTTTGATTTTTGTTACAAACATGAGTTCAAAAGCTGATTTGTATGAAAATTTAAGCTATTCTATAACTTGTAATTCTAAACAACTTTGTTTAATACATTTTTGTTTTGTCTAAAATAAAGACAGTTTACTCTTGACTAATTTTTTGAATTCGGCAAAAAAATACCCTGTATATTAATTAATTTGCCTCATTTTTTCAATATATTAGGTTGAGCAATTCTCAAAAAAAAATTGTCATAATATACACCTTATGTGCAGTCAATCCGTGGACATACTGTACATATTATGTAAGTACTTTTACGAGGTAAAATTATAAAAAAATTGTAATAAGATAGATTTTCAAATACCCTGTATACTTATCACTATCAGCAGTCAATGTTTTCAATTCCAAACTAATATTAATAATCTCATAGGTAGTGTAAATATTGATATCGTTAACAGTCACTGCCATATGAACAACAACAATAATTGAAATTAGAATTTAATCTTCTTACATTACCCCTTCTCAAAATACAAAGTCGGAAATCCCAACCCGAATATTTACCCTTGTCACTGTGCAACTTGTCTATGGGTTCATCTTCGCTTTGATACAATTCCTCTATTTCTTCGGCATTAGCATTGAAACGAATAGCTATGGAAGGAACGGACGTATTCATAGCTTTGCCTAATGGAACAATATACCATATTTAGAATAAGTCAATGTATAGAGCATAATAAACACACAACGAGTATGATATACACATAAAGATAAAAGTAAACACCACACGAGACAGCTACCTTTTACCTTTTATCATCCCTAGAGTAATTTTACTATTCTCCTTCGTTTTACTCATTGTAAGAGGATTGGAATTATTGAAGGGTAGAGTTAATTCGGAGAGAATCGAGTTATCTGAAAGTGAGGATAGTATTTACCAAACCGAACAGTGACATGTAATAAAATTAGAAACGTAAATTGCTCACCTTCGATAAGTACCTTTAGAAATCAGGAAATCAATATCAATTTATCACAATTAAGAAATACCTAATATAAAATTATGAAATGACAAATTTGATTTTTCTTTTTGTTCAGTTCATTTTTAATTTAGAAGGAAAACGTGCGCGTGCGCTGTGTAAAGCTACGAATACACTTTCAAATATACGAGGGTCTAATATATACAAGGTGCAATAATTAAGTGAATGAACGAATACTTTTTACATATAGTCAGGTCACAGCCCTGATTCGATAGTTTTCTTCTATCACCGACTGTCTCCATTAGAATCTTGGTCATCTGCTCGTCTTCTTTTTTTAAATTAGTTGTCTCTACGCAAAAGTTGCACCTCCCCTACTATCTGGCATTCTCTCTAACGTTACCATTGCAATCTTCTATTTTTGTCATAAAATTTAAGATACATTTTTGGTATCTGGGGTACCTATACAGTTTTAATTTCAAATTTTATTTTATTTATTGTTAGGCGGAACCGCTCCTGGTAGTCGTCCTCTGAGGTTAGGGTGCTTGCAGGTCATGAGGGCATATGCAATTTAGTCTTCTAGAATGCTGGGTAGAAAGTGTACGAGGACATTGTTGTGGCCCTAGAGTTTGATGTCGTGGTAATTTTGGGCGTGGCTTTGAATTTTGTAGGTGACGAATGAAATGCCAAGATCCTGGTGTAGGGTTTCGTTTGAGACGTATAGGGCCAATTCTACAATGAAGGTATATACCGAGAATAAGCTATACCTAGAATAAATGTCGACGGTTGCGTTGGTTACCATTGGGTCAACCAATGGCACACATGTTGCTATGGCAGTTATTCCAAGAATATCTTATTCTCCGTAAAAGTGTAATTGTAAAACCGGCCCTTAATGAAGTCCCTAGATTACTAAAGTAACGCGAATAGCAGCCATCTTGGCTCAGTTTAGGACCCGCGAAATTTGAAATTGAACAAAACTTGGAAAATATGTATTTTGTAGTCGCTCTTGGGTAGGGCAAGTTTTGTGAGCGTATCGTTTAATATAATAATATACTTAACATAACATAATAATAACATCACAAGAAAAACACAGTTGCATCGCTTTTTCAATCGTTTCACGACTCCACATAAAACCTTTGTGTGTGTACCCCAATTCTAAATATTTTAATTGATCTTCATTAAAAGTTTCCGAAAGATTGTCTTCACTTCTGAGTAGGTAATTTCTTTTTTCGGTTTCTGTTTTCTTGCAAAAGTGCCTAGATGTGCTTCTCTAATGAATTAATGGTTCATCAGTATTCTCTTTAATGTATACACAACTATTATAATACAAAACAACAAATGTCAAACCTGACACTAGGTGTCAAACGGCCATTTTGGCTCAGTTAGCAGTTTGTTTTAATCTAATACACTGGCCTAATGAATCGCGTTACTTTAGTAATATAGGGACTTTAGGTGCGGAAAGCTGTTTGTGCCATCTGGAGAGCACGAACGTTGGTTACGGTTGGCATCTGTTTTTGAATGGCGATGGTGGAAACATCCCTCCATAAATGTTTGTTATTTTTTGTGTTATTTAGTGCAGGTAGTAATCTTTGCATTTTTTCATATCGTATTGTAACGGAAATGCTCCAGACATGACGTCGCCTTTGGCGCTCTGGAATTTTCTACGCGCGCGATAGTAGGAACATTCGAGAATGTACTGGACTTACATTGCTTGCGTGTATAAATGGTTGCGGACCGAACATCGCGGGAGTCTACTATCGAACGAGATCGAGTACGGACGAAACATAGAGCGCGAAAATCTGATATAAATTTCGAAGTGTGTGATATAAATAATCGATATAAATTGTACGGTTTTTATAGTGTTTTAGTTTTGTTTAATAAATATTGATATAAATCGAACCCGAATTTATAAATCACGTTACATTGGTGTCAGAAGTGGGATTAATTAAATTAATTAAAAGTAAGATTAAATTAAGTGCTTGTGCTTGTGTATGCCTGTAACAAGATCTGCTGCCGCTAAAATGGAAGAAACGATGCTCAATTTGCTCCAGCAAATCCAAAATGGCCAACAGGTGTTGCAACAAGAAATGAAAAGCACCCAAGAAAATTCTAGAAATATTCAAGAGAAGTTGGAAGAAAATTCTAGAAATTTTGAAGAGAAGTTCGAGAAAATGGAAGAAAATTCTAGAAAGATTAATGAAGAAAATTCTAGAAATATTCAAGAGAAGTTCGAGAAGTTGGAAGAAAATTCTAGAAAGATTATCGAAGAAGTCTCTACATCAATTGAAGAAAAAGTTGAAGATAGAATTACGGAAGTTTCCAAAACATTTAAAGCAACATTCGTCGAGATTGAGCACAAGTATGAAGAGCTGCGCGAGCAATTCTTGCGACTGACTACGAAAGAGCGTACTAGTAGTGCCCCAGAAACAAATACAAGAGTAGAAGGCGACGTTCAGCAAGCCCGAGTAAAGCCACCTACTTTTGATGGTAAGATTCCTTGGACCACGTACGTTCGACAGTTTGAAGCAGCGGCTGCGGCAAATAAATGGACTCTTCAAGACAAAACTACAGCCCTGATTCTTGCTCTGAGAGGAGATGCTCTGGATGTGTTGCGGACTATCCCCGAGGATCAACAGAACTTCCAACAAATAGTAGCGCGACTCGAAATGCGATATGGCGATAAACACCTTCAGCAAGTTTACTATGCCCAAGTCAAGAACCGAATGCAGAAATCTGGAGAAAGTTTGCAGGAACTTGAAGCGGACATCGCTAGACTGATTCGATTGGCATACCCTACGGCACCGGAGAGCTTTCTTGATCAACTGGCTGTACAAACATTTATCGATGCCGTTCGTGATGGAGATGCCCAGCAGGCTTTGAGACTGGCTAGGCACGACAAAATTGAGAAAGCTTTGGCCCATGCGTTAGAATTCGAAGCCGCCAAGAAAGCTAGTCATGGAAGTGCGCGAGTACGTATGGTGGAACCTCGCAGTGACAGCCGGGTAAGAACCATCGAAGAGGAAGGTGGCTTTGAAAGTTTTGAAGAAAAGGTCAGTAAAGTAGTGGTAGAAAAGGTCAGTAAAGTAATGGAAGAAAAGGTCAATAAAGCAATACAGTCACTGGCAAAGAAACGTGAACCATGGCGAGATTGGACACGTTCGCCGCAACTGCCAAAAACCATTGCAGCAGTCGGAAAACTAAGAAAGGTCGACAGGAAGGGGCTATCGTCGACCTGCAGAAACAAAGCCCCGATCGTCACTGTAAACATTTCGTCGTCTGGAAAAGTTCACAATAATGCAGACGCTTTGTCAAGAAGACCGTGCAAGGACAACTGCATCACACATTGTTCTAAAATAGAAGACAAGATTGGCCATCTGCGACGAACAACTGTAGAGAGTGAGGAATGGAAGCCAAGCGAAATCAAAACGGCCCAAGAAAACGACCCAAGTATAAAAACTGTTCTGAATTGGATGCGCCACGGACAAAGACCAGGCTGGCAAGACATTAGTGCCACAAGTCCTGAAGTAAAGAGTTATTGGGGCCAATGGAATAGCCTGACTCTGAAAGACAACCTGTTGTATAGGACCCTTGAAAGTGAAGATGGCACCGAATCGACGCTGCAATTAGTAGTACCTAGAAGCAAAGTGTCAGAAGTATTGCGAAAATTGCATGACGGCGCTTCCGGAGGACACTTTGGTATTACGAAAACGTTGCAAAGGGTACGTGAGCGATTCTATTGGGTCAACCGTAAAGAAGATGTCCGGCGATGGTGTCAAAAATGTGAGTTATGTGCTACTGGAAACGGACCAGTTTCCAAGAAGAAGGCACCCATGAGGCAGTATAACGTTGGTAGTCCGATGGAACGAGTTGCTATCGATATCGCAGGACCGTTTCCCGAGACAGATGGCGGAAATAAATATATCCTAGTCGCTATGAATTATTTCACAAAGTGGACTGAAGCTTACGCCATTCCAAACCAAGAGGCAGCAACAGTTGCAGAAGTGTTGGTAAAGGAGTTCTTTACACGTTTTGGTGTTCCTATAGAAATCCATTCAGACCAAGGAAGGAACTTTGAATCGGCTTTGTTCCAAGATGTTTGTCGATTGGTAGGAGCCAATAAAACCAGAACAACACCTTTGCATCCTCAGTCAGATGGAATGGTGGAGAGAATGAATCGAACGATGGGTAAATATCTTTCAAAAGTCGTGGCAGAACATCAGAAAAATTGGGACCAGTACCTCCACCTGTTCCTTATGGCATATCGATCAGCCGTCAACGAGACCACGGGTCGGACTCCTGCCTGCCTTATGTTGGGTCGTGAGCTACGCCTTCCATGTGATCTCGAGTTTGGGCGTAAACCCCATGAAGAATATGTCGCAGGTGAAAATTATGTTGACCAACTAAGGGTGAAGATGAACGACATTCACGACTTGGCTAGAAGTCATATTCAGATTGCCAGCGATCGCATGAAAAATCAATACAACCTCCGCTCGGCCAATGAAACTTTTGAAGCTGGAGATCTGGTATGGCTGCACAATCCACAGAGACGAAGGGGTCCTTCTCCCAAGCTACAAAGACAATGGGAAGGTCCGTATGAGGTGATCAAGAAAATAAATGACGTGATATATCGTATCAGAATGAACCACCGAAAACCGAAAGTTGTCCACATTAATCGACTCGCACGATATGCCGGATCCAACAACAACGAAGAAGTTAGAGGTATTCGAGAAGAGGAACGCAGCTTTGGGATCGAGCCAAACTTTAACGATTTTATGTCAAATTACGCCCAGCGGAAGAAAGCTCGATTTGGCGTTACTCAGGAAATTTGTCAAAATATTTTGAGCTTCCGGTTAACGTTTCCATCGCCCATTGTGTCGCCGAAGACCTTCGCATGGGTAGAGGTATAGCTTCCGTATTCCGGAAAAGATTTGGAAGAATAGACGAGTTGTTAAAGCAAAGACCACGAGTGGGTAAAGTACTGCGCTTGGAAGCTAATCAACGCTCTTTGTTCTACTTGGTTTCAAAGAAAACGTCAGAAGGCAAACCCACCTATGAAAACCTGTAACAGTTTAGTTTATTTATATTCAAATTTCAAAATTACCGCTTGCTACGTTAGGCAGGATATAGGTGAGATGGCGGCACTTGTACGCGTGC